CTGTCTCTGCTTTCAGAGGGCCTAAAGGCAAGCAGGCAGCAGATTAAACTGCCACGCATTTTCTCTAAACCCTCTGTCCCAAACTGTCCTGAGCAGGCAAGAGCCAAATTGACGGCTTCTCCCCCGCTGACATTACCTGGTGCCAGGTCCCTTGTGCACTTTGCGCCTGTCATGCATCTAGAAAGCAGCTTCCCTGAGGAAATAGTTGCAGTTTTATTTTGCACTCCTTAAACGTTTTTGTGATGACAGCTTTGCTCCTGTCATTAACAAAATTTGGCAGTGTCCCCTCCTTCAGATGCATTTGTGCTGTGAAGGAAAGTGTGCTGATCCCAGAGGGTTTCTCCTCTCCCAGCAGGTACTCGTTGGTGATTCCTTCCCCTTGCCATCCCTGACTGCGGATGGCTGCGTGGCAGTGTCCTCCTGATACAATGGATGCTGGCACAGCTTTGTTTCCTCTGCTCACCTTCTGAGCCCTGTTTCTTGACATCACCTTCTCTCACTGGGGCTTTGAGTTTGTCTGCTCTCAAGACAAATAGAAATATGTGGAAGGGAGCCTGACTTTGCATTCTGCTGTTTATTCTTAAGTCAAGGTTGTAGTTTAGAAGTTGGCTTTCAGTGACAGCTCCAGCATGTGCTGGCCTCCAGTTCTGTCTCATTGCTGTCTGACTGCCCGGCACAAACATTTGGGCTGCCATGAAATCGGGGATGGGAACACGTCTGGGTGTAGGGAAAAGACAGGTTTGTTTTCTTCAGCCACAGAACCAGTTGACATTTGCTAAAGGTTTTCTGTCAAACCGGCAGCCTGTGTGTGCTCAGATAAATCAGCATGTGCAGCAGTCTGAGCCTGAGAGGATGTGCTCAGCTGCACTGGGGCTGCTGGGGAGGGGATTTGGAAATGGGAGTGCTGGCAGAGGGCAGAAGAGAGCTGGCCTCTGGGAGGCTGGAGGGTGCTGCTGGCAGGACTGGGGGAGCTGGTGGTCTGGGAGCCCACAGCTGGCTTGGAGGATGGCAGCTGTGGCTCTGGCAGCCTGGCAGGGGAAGAGCAGGAGAAGGAGGGTGCTGTACCTGGCTCAGACTGGGGGTAGAGCAGTGGCATCTGGGAGTAGAGGTGGCATCCCACATCTGTAGGGCAGTGTGGTGGCACTAAATGCAATAAGCAAGGTCAGAGACTTGTGGGTAAGTTTAACCTGTTTCTTCTCCAGTAATGTCCTGGCCTGTGGAGATGTTGAATGCCTGTATCACCAATCCAGGCTTACTGGTGTGATGCTTTAATGAGACAAGATGAGGTCTGTGTGCTCCCCTCCATGCCTCACGCTGGGCTGTGATTCTCTAGTAAGCACTTTTCCTTCAGGTGATAAGGCAAAAACTGAAGGTTGAAAGTTCAGCCTCATGCCCCATGGGATCAGGAGAGGAGATACAAAGGTTGGCCTTCCTGGAGAGAGCCTCACTGTCTGATTTGTGTGGGAGATGTATGGCAAGGCAGGGGAGAAAAATAGCACCACTTCGCTGGTGGCTTAGGCCGCGAGGACCAGATACATCCAGGATTGCTTTGTGGTACTTCTAGTGTGGCTGTTCTGTCGCTGTCTGGAGCTGACTTTTGGGAGGTGAGAAAAGGCAGAGTCAGGATTGAGGAGGCTCCTGGGCCATTTATGTGTCAGCATGAGCTTCGGGCCATTTGCACTGCTTCGGTGTGCGTGTGGCTCTGAAACTAATTTGCCTGATCATTTTAATAAATGTAAAAGGGGTGTCCTGGTGTGCAAGTAATGGGACATTAATCCATGCCTAGCTGTGTTAACAGCACTCTAAGAAGGAAATACTCCCATGCTGTTCTCACTCTCTTAATTATGGGATGTTCAGTTTAGGATCCCCTTCCACGGAGGCTGCTCAGCCTCTTTGGCTTTCAGGTGGCTCTCTGGTGACTCTTATTTCACTTCTTAAGCCAGTTTCCTCACAGCTCCTCGGCGCAGGTTCCCAGTTCCAAAGTGTCATTGTCCTAATGTTTAACCATACAAAGACTTTCTGAGGCATAGCACCTTTTTGGTGCTGCTGGCTTGTCTGCTGCCCCAGTGCAGGTCCTGATGGCAGATTTCCTAGGAAGATGCAAACCCTGCTCTCTGACACTTCTCCCACAGGAAGCCTTGGAACTATACCCTGCTTGGCTGCAGATGCTTGCCTGCTTTTATGTACAGTTTTTGGCTCCTGAGAGCACTGTGTTCCTGGGAAGATATACTTAGGTCTTTATTTAATCTCTTTCATTTCTAGGTTAAATGTATAATATTGTTCTGGATTTGTTTCTTAAATGTCCTATAAAATTCCTGGCATTCTCTTCCCAGCCAGTTTTTCCCCCTCTTAGACTGCAGAACGATAGCAGCTATTTTCCTGCCTTGGAAGTGACCGGGATCTGGCTCAGCTCAGAAACTCCCTACCAGGCCACTGGAGGCTTCATCATTCACCTTCTTTTAAGGGACTCAGGGAGTTCTGTAGATAACAGCAAAGTGGTCAGATAGAGCTTGGGGTGACTTAGGGTTTGTTTTGCAAATGATCATTCGTTGGAGCTCTGTTTAAACAAACAGAGCTCAAATAAGCTTTCCACTTCATTGCATTAAAATCCCTTAATTCATTAAAATCCCCTGGCCACAGACATTCAGGCCTCTGCAGTGCCAGGTGCTGTTTAAACAGTTATCAAGTGCTGGTGTCTGCTGTAAAATGATCACATTGTTCGCTTCCCGTCGCTCGTCTGCGAGTTGAGTGGCTTTTGTTAGGGGAGATGATACTAGTCCTGGTATTTGCTGGCTCTACAGCCAGTACCAAGGAAACCTGTAACTTTGCCCAGTTTTAAACCCAGGAAGGTTGTTTTTACCCTCTCTTGCTGTGCAGCTGCATCAGGAGCATCTGTTCCCTGGTGGGAAGCAGCAGCAGTTTTCCAGCTGGATCAGACAGCTGTGGAAGACTCTGTAGTTACTGGGCAGGTGGGGAGCTGAAGCCAAAAGTCAAAAGAAAAAAAGGCCAGGGAGAACTAAACTCAGCTGTCCCAAAGGCGAGAGAGAACTAAACTCAGCTGTCCCAAGTCCTTCTTGGTGCAGGCTCCATTGCCCTACTTGTGTTAGCAGGTAAGAAGCAGCCCTGTGATGTATTTGTGTGTCCATCTTGGTCTCTCACCCTTTTGGCTACCTGGCTGTGGTGAATATTGGCAGCCTTGCTGTCTTTTCTTGCTGTTGCCCTTTGTGGTGGATGTCTGTCCTCCTGAATGCCCCTCTGCATGGAAGGGTGCAGCAGAGGCAACAAGGGGGGCAGAGCTTGGAGCATGCTGTCAGGAGCACTTGGTGCATGTATTTTGTCAGTCCTGTCTCAATAACACAAGTTTATTGAGAGTGTAGGCATTATCAAGTGAGTTTTCAGGATTCACATCTTGTTTATGACAAGGTTACAGGCTTTCCGCTACTGGTCTTCCTATATTTTTATATTTTTGTCTTATTCTGGTTAATTTGATAGAAAATTAGATTAACCTAAACCAAGCTGCTCTTGTGAACATGCATATAAAAGCACATGTAATGAAGGGTGTAAGTGATTTTCACTTGGAAAGTGCAGACTTAGCTGATCTGGAGCTTTTTAAGGTCTGCAACCACAGATCAGTTGGGATCAGCTAAACTGTCTGAAGAGGGCCACAGAAGGTATAACAGCATATTGCAGTGGGTGAGGTTTGTGTGCAATGTTTTGAGGAGAAGTGCCTTTCCTTAGGGAGCACCATGTGCTGGTCTCTTCCAGCTCTAGTTGAATGTGGGGCTGCAGAAAAAGCAGTTTCAGTCTCATGTTGTCCAAGAGTGGGACTGTACAAATGGTTTCATGCTGTCCTGTCTGTGGCACTTGATATAACAGGAGGGAGACCTGAACTCCTTCCCATACCTGTTTGCACCTTCACTAGCTCTTCACGCTTTCAGGGACCTTCTGTTCTCAGGAATACACTGAGCGCCAGAGGTATCTCCAGCGCAGAAGTGTCAGCCTGTAAGCCCCTCTGTTGGATGTGTGATTCTGTGGGGCTTAGGAGATCTGCAGTAAAGGAGCAAATTTCATTCTAGAGGGAAAGGACAGAGGTACTTCCTTTGCTTCTGGCTCAGCATCCAGGTGGCAAATGAATGGGAATAGGAAGGAGGTTGGCTGAATACTGCTGAAACACCTGCAGAAAGCATAGGGCATCTGATTCCCAGGCTGCAGGTGAGGAGATGAAAGCATGTCCAGAAAGCTGAAAGTTGTGGCTGCTTCTGAAATTTTCTCTGGTGTCCAGATTTCTTTGTGTGGTGACTTCTAACAGCTGTCATTAAACAGTAACAATTAAGAGTCTTAGAGAGAGCTGGTTCCTGCTGTGTGGCACTGAGCTGAAAGGAGCGGTCCAAAGGGCAAAGTGGCATCAGTAGCTTGGGGAGGGAGAGGCATTGCTTAAAAAGCAATGTTGGCACAAGATTGAACATGGGCTGTCTGTTTAAGCTCAGAAATAGGGGAAGGATAGTAACCTCTGAAGAGCAGTGTTTTGAAGGCTGTGCTTTGGACATGGATATGTTGAAGGGAAGTGCTAAAAGAGTCTTGTGATGACACTTGACTCTCTTGGGCTTTCTGGATGGACCTGCAGAGGGTTGGGGATGCGCATGGTATGGTGTGAAATGCTCTCTGAAGTTGGAGAGTAGTGACAGACATGGCTGTTCTGGCTCCTGGGCAGAGCTTGTGCCCTGCCTGGCTGCTGCCCTTTCTCATGCTCATGTGCTGCTAGAACCTGATGACCCTGGCAACTCTTCCCTCCATTTGTCCTTGTATATTTATATTTACAGACATATGTTTATAAGGCTCCCTCTGGAGCTCAGTCTCGTCTTTGAGGAGATCAGGTGCTCCGTTAAGTCACTTGTGCCTCAGCTGTCCTAACCCTACAGCCTGCCAAGTAGGCTCTGAGCTTTAAGGAGAGTGTAAGTGTCTCAACTTTGTGTTCTTGGTGTTTTTCTGTCCTTTCCCAGGAAGAAACTGAAGTGAGAAAGACGTGACTGAAAAAGAACGATTGGAAGGAACAGATTCATTTCTTAACAAGATCAAGTTTGAATTAAATGGCTGATAAACAGATCAGGTAACTTTTAATTTTATTTTTTTTTTTAATTGTGCTTTAGGTTTTTCTTTTAAAATCTTTCAAACTTATTTCCGTTTGGGATCCAGGAGGTTTGAGTAAATCACCTGGTCATCTCTTCCAGCCTTAAACAGTTTTGATTCTTTCTCTTCTCCTTTCTTACCTGCTTTTTTTGAACCTTCTCTTATTTTGTGTCTCTGCAATGTTGTCACGTCTACTTTCTTCAGTTCTTTATTCTCATTGCCTTTTTCTTTCTACCCTCTGCTTTCTACCCTGCACGAGTCTGTTCCTTTTTGTTTCTTCTTTCAAAGGTCACCCTGACCTGCTAACTTCAGCTGCTGGCATCAAGGAAGCAAAGCTAGGTCCTTGACCAGCCAAGGATGCAGTACTTGTAATGACAAAGTCCACATAGCGTTGTGCAGCCTTGTGCCCTTACTCTACAGACAGTCAAGGCTTGAGTGATAGCAGGAATATGAGGTGCCAACAATGATTAAGGACACATATGTGCACAGTGGAAACTTAAGAGTATTGGTTCTGGTAAAGACTGGATTTGAGTCTTCCTTGGAAATTAACTGGGATTAATTTCCTGGAAAGACACAGTTCTGCCCTTTGCTTCCTAAGAGCTGTGTCAGGTGGATCTGCACAGTCCTCCACGTGGGTTTAACTTTCTGCTGTTTGTGAAGTTGCCCCAGCTAAGTGACTCCTGCGTGCTGTGGGATTCCTGTGGGGTTTTTCCTGTTGCTTTTCTAACACCTACTTTTCCAGGTTACAAGCTCAGGACAGGTGGGGTGAGTGGGTGATTGAAACATGGTTACAGAGGGACAGGACTTGGCAGTGCCTGAATGCTGCGAGCAAGAGGGCTGCCCCTTCTTAGCATTTGCCATGATTAGGATATCTTCCTGTACGCCTGTCTTCTGCAAATGTAAACAGTCCTGAGCTGTGCTGATAAAATACAGCATTGTGGAGTGTTTGTGTGCCTAGATTTGGCCATCATCCGCTACCCAGTTTGGAGAGCACTTGGAACTCTTCCAACACACCCATGAAGGGCATGCTGAGATTCACCTCCATGGAGCCTGGCAGGTCTGTGCTCCCGATAACCTCAGCAAAGCAAAATGATCAGACGTCTGTGGCTGTTTGAAGCTTGGTATTTTGAAGGAAGCGGGGATGTGTCCTACAAGAAGAGGTGTGTCCTACAAGATGTGCCCTGTCTCCTCCAGTGTGCTCTTGGTGCTGTGAGCAGGAGCTTGCTGGCTACGGGGACTAGTTAAAAGGGCACAGGAGGAGCACTAGAAGAGGAGAACTGGGATGCCTTTGTATCCCTTCTTGTGTTAAACTGAGCAAATGGCTTCATTTGCATGCTAGCCAGCGTTGTCCCTGTTTCACTAAGCCCTGCACACATAGGGAGTGGGAGGCAGTAGCTGTGCAGAAGCTAAATAGGACAGAGAGACCAGGCACAGTGGATTCTTATCCCTTGAGAGAGCAGAAAGCACTGATGTGTGAAGTGGGATGACTCAGTCACAGGGGAAAAAGCTTTTGATTCAGGTGCAATGGTCTTTGTCTCATGTTCTTCTCTGTGCCTCAAATCCGTCACCTCTCCTGCTTTGCTCATCCAGTCGATGGGACCACGTGTCTGCAGTAGTCACAGGCAGCCAAGCCAAGGAGATTGGTTTCTGTCACCCCCCAGTAGAACAAGATTGATAGCAAAAGACTAAAATCAACAGCAGTGGTTTGCTGCATGGTGAGATCAAGGGCACTGCATTTCTGCAGCGGTGCATGTGGAACTTAGTGTCTTGCTGGATACTGCCCCATGTCCATCCCTATTAGTTTCCCCCTGCAGTGTTGATGGGGATAGTTAGATTCAGGTGTGATGGGAGTATTGCGCAAGGGTTTCTCCCCAACAGGCAGAGGGAGAGACTGTCTGCAGCCTCAAATTTTTGGCTTGCCCATCAAGATGGGCAATCAGATGATTCCCCTTTACTGCTGGGGTCTGGGCTGAAATTGGGGAATCTCTTGCACTTGCAGTAGCAGCAGGCAGGACCTTTGTGTCTGTGTCTCAGTCCCACCTGATATAAACCCTGGGATGATTTCACTGTTGGAGCAGGTTGAGAAGGGCAAGTGCTTGCCTGTCCCAGGTGTTTCAGGGACACTTAGAGAAGCGATGACAGTGCTGAGGCTGGAAGGGGGCACTGGTTGTGCCTCACAGCCCTGCAAACAGTGACTTCAGAGCTGAATTTGGGGAGGCTGAGGTGATCCTGTCTTCAAACACCTTCCTTCTCCATGGTGTCTGCATCCTGGGACACTTATCTGGTCTCTAACCTTCTCTTTCAGTGTGACTGTGGGTTAAATAAGGAGAGCACAATAATGTGAAGCTTACTGTTTGAAATTTTCCCATGTCCTGAGAACAAGTTGGGTGTAGGAATTTGCAGGCAAATCTATTCAATTCTCAGACTGTGGCACAAAGATCCCTGGGGCAACAGTCTGGAGCTGGTGAGGTCTGAAAGCCTGTCTCTGCACTGAGCTTGTGCACTGATTTGGGTCTGCCTTCCTGAAGTACTGTGCTGATTTAATCTCAGTCAGCACTGTCTAGTTTGGAGCTGTAGGCTGAGCTCAGATCTGTCTGCCTGTCCTTGGCACCTCTTCCTCCAGCTGTGCCAGCCCTGGGGCTGTGTGTGTGTTAAATTGGCAGGTGTTGAGGAGGAAGAAGCTTTGAGTGCAGGACAGCAGAGGCTGAAAGGAGTGTGTCAAGGTATGTCAGTCCTGAGGTGTCAAGATCATGCTTAGCCTTTGTGGACAAAATCTTTTATATTTTTTCCATCCCTCATTTGTCTGCTTCCCTCAGGGACCCTTCAACTTGAAAGCTTGAGTCTCCATATCCTGCCTTTCCCTCAAGCATGGCTGCTTATTGATCTCTCTGTGTTTGCCTCTTGATGCAGAGTGCTCTGGAGTGCTGTTGGGGGGAAGATGTTTGCAGGGCTTCACCCCACCATGCCTCGGCCAGCCTCAGCACTGCTGCTTTCAGAGGGTAATGCAGTCTGTCCCCCATCCAGAGCAGCATGTCACCACCATGGAAAGCAGGGTGCCAGTTCCCCCGGTGGGAGGATAGGCCTTGCAGGCTCACCCAGCTGCAGTCTAGGACTGCTGTCGGCCATCAGCTTAATATCTGACACATCCTCTGTTCAGGGAGCCATATCCTGTCCTTTATTGGAGGGAGCTGACTCAAACAGGCTTTCTTTGTCTCTATGTGCAGTGGTTTATTGAGCATGTAAGTGCAGGACATTTTTCTTAATTGAATTTGCTGGGAACCCATGTTTAGCTGATGTGGCTTTCGCTCAGTGCCACTTGCAGGAATTCTCTGTGGGAACACAAAGGGGAGTGGAAAAAACCCCGTGCTTCGGAAGCACGTGCAGCGAGCCAGGTTTTGATTTCCCCCAGAGGTATGAGCTCACGTCTCCACATCTGCAGCCATGCAGGCTGCCAGCCCGGTAGTTTTGCCAGGCTGCTGCTTTGTGTGTGTTCCCCCTGGCCCTGGGAGATGGGTCTGGAAGCAGTTTCCCGTGGCTGCAGCCATCTGCTCCTTGGCTGCCAGCTGGGTGCTTCTGCTGGGCCCATTCCCACATGATGGTAGCAGCTGATGTATCACGAACCTCTCATTAGCTGCGGATCTGATTGTGCTGCAGGAAAGGGTTTGTCAGTAAACCTGCCGGCTCGGATGCCATCAGGCCCTAACTGAGGGCTGTCCACGTGGTAGATGGTCCAACAGTCAGTCTTTTCTCCTCTAGGGACAACAGAAATCCCCAGGTCCTGGGAAACAGGATTTTTTCGTGCTCCTAGTAATGTGTGGGTTAGGTGTTTGGCTCAACTCCACTCATCACTGGTTTGTGCTGATGGTATGTGCTGCTTTCTCTGCCTCTCCATATACACAGCAGGAACCAAGCTTTGCTTTGTGGAAGAGCTTCCTTTGTACTGGGGGGGACAGCCTTGTCTCACGGCAATGCATTAACTCTGGTCAAACAAAAGAGCTCAGCTCTTTCCTCTTTCCCTTCCCTGATATTACCCCGTGCTAAGACGTCTCCTTCTCTCTCTCTCATCCCCTTACAGTTTACCTGCCAAGCTGATCAATGGAGGGATAGCTGGGCTGATCGGGGTCACCTGTGTATTTCCCATTGACCTGGCAAAAACTCGCCTGCAGAACCAGCAGAATGGTCAACGGATGTACAGCAGCCTGTGAGTACTGCCCACACGGGCACCATCCTTCGGGGCTTTCCGCGGGAGTCTTTCCTCTATGTTACCTCTTTCAGGTGAGCTCAGCATCTCTAGGAACTGGGCTGTCCCCAGGAAAGCCAGGGGACAGGCTGGAGCCAAGCTGTGCTAGAGCAGATAAAGCAAATAGAGCAGCTCTTGAGGCTGCTGAGCTGAGCAGAGGAGTCCTCTGCAGAGGGCACATCTGTTTGCATCCCTTGCTTGGGAGCAGTGTGTTTGCTACTGCCAGGGCTCAGAACCAAAACACAAGGAATGCTGATCACCTGATCCCAAGCACAAGGAGTCTGCTGAGCTGGTCACGTGCCTGAGGGAGTTTCTGCCTCTGTTCTGTTTCCATTGCTCTGATATTGGAGATCCTTCCTTTGCTGTGTCAGTTTTAAAAAGAGGAAGCAGTTTGCTCATTGCCAGTCTAGAGCATTGCGTGTGGACCTTTCGGAGGATCACAGGCTGACACATGCTATAGTTAGACCAGCCGTCCGGTGTCCAGAATAACTCAGGTACTGCACCTGGAGGAAAAGAAGGCATGAGTGTATCCAGCCCACCAAATTCACTTGGAGTTTGTGTCAAGTGCTTAGGGCTGCATATCTGCTGTGGGAATGTGTACCACACTTAGCACAAGATGCTTTATCCTGGGAACCAGAGACAGGCCTTAGTTTTCCAAAAGAATTTGTGGTATTGAGGGGAAGAAGGGATTGGGACTGGTGAGGTATGTCCTGTCCTCCTACCACTTTGTTTACTACTAGTGTAACCTGATCCTTGCTCCTCCACCATCTTTTCCTCTTTCCTGCTCAGGAGAATTGGAGGCAGAGAGGGAATAGGAAGGAAGTGCTCTCTATGCTGATGGCTTTAATCTCTGTGCCTCCTTGCTCTGGCTGATGACAGGTGCTTAGGCTGTAGGCTCTGGTGCTTCCCTTGGTACTACCTGTGCTCCCTACACTGTCAGTGTGCCCTGGCTTGTTGGCAGGATGTGGCCACCCATATTGCTTTGCATCCCCTTTTGTTGTGTCCTGCTCCTCTGTAGATTGCTTCACCTCCCTGAGGATCACTTATCCTTGTGACCTGACAGCAGGAGGAGTTTAGGCAGGTTGAAGAACTTGTAGGCGCCCCTTGGGACTGCATGCCCGGATGTCTCATGCCTGGAAGGGAGCTTGGTAGGAGAGAGGCTTTTAACCTCCAGCAGTCAAGTGCAAGTCAGCTCCATAGCCAGGAATTGCTGTGAGATGAGGAGCTGTTAAGGAATACATAAGATTTACCCTGTATATTTGAACTGGCTGCTTCTAAGAAAAAGAAGGGCTGAGCTTTCCTAAGAAACTTTCCCCTGTTACAGCAGCTTATTTTTCTGGAAATGCTATGTGTCCATCAATACTAGATTTCCTGATTACACCAATTACCTGGTGTCTGCTGAACACCCAGGAAAGGCAGCAAGTTCCTTTAAAATGTTGGCTCTCTTACTTTAAGATAGCATGCTTTACTTATGCTTGGCTCAAGAGATCTTTGGCATCAGGGGAACCTTTTGATTTAAACAGACTGGAGGACTTCTGAGGGAGGGAGAGAGCTTGGCTTTTGGGCTGTGCTGCCCTAGGTATGTTATTGTGGAGGTTTCATTTTAGAATCATTTTAGTTGGCTGTTGGCTCCCTTTTTCCAGGGAGAGAAGAAAGCTGGATGTGGCCTTGGGTGCATCTTGTTCTGCTGCAGTTTGAGGGGCTTTAAGTGATATGCAAGCTCTATCCTGATGCAGCAGGGCTGTATGAATATGGTGGGGAGCAGCTCTTCTCACTCCTCTCCCTGCTGTGGCTTGTTCAAAGCAGCATCACTGGCTCAGGGAAAATGTGTTGCCTCCAGCATTGCAGTGTGAGATCTTGATGGGAGGGATAGGAGGAAAGTACACTGAGATTTCTGGGCCTTGCAGATGAGTTGGAGGGGCTGCTTGGAAGGAGATGAGTATGTGCAAGTTGCAGGGGCTGAAGTGGAATGTGTGAAAGATGAGATGCCAAAGGATTCAGGGAGTCCCAGCAGAGGGGAAACTCATTGCCATGACTGGTAGCAATGCAGGATGGGCTCTTCACAAATAACTCTAGAACAGTCTTTGCCCAGGTATGGCCATAGAGCCCTCAAGGGAGCTCTGTATTTCCTTCTCTTCCACCTCAGCACTACTGCAGAGCTGAGAAAAAGTTTATTCCTTGTGTTGCCAAATCTCTTAAAAATGTATTCGTGTTTTCATCAGCCACACTTCTCTTATTACTGCTTAAAAGAGCCTTTTATTCCTTAAATTATGTACACATACATGCATGTGCACCTCTCCCTCCTCTATGGCTAGAGCAAGTACCTATCTCTTCCCAAAGATCCTAAAGGCAGCATCCCAGCTTCATGCAGCTGTGGTCCATAGAGGGAAACTGCCAGAGAATCTATGCAGCCTTCCTGAACTGTGACTTTGGATTTGCTAGGGGTGTGTGTGTCTGTGCCTTCAAAAGCCTTTGAGCCATTCCAGTGCTCTGCAGGGTTTTGCCATTTGTAGTAAATGTGTTTGCAACTAGGAAGGTGACAGTTTTCCCCTTGGAGCTCGGTACCCTACTGCACTCTCCTCAGGGCAAGAGCCTGAGTGCTTGCTGCCTGCTGTGGGACTTGATGTGTTAAAAGTGTGTGCTTTAATCTGTGTGGGAGGCCACAGATGACTGAGTGTTCAGGTCATCTCATGTTTGTGTGCCTTGTGTCAAATTTCACAGAGTAAGACAAAGAAGTCAGCATGGGGGGTTGGCCCCCCTCATTTCCCTTCCAGAGCTGGATTTAAAAATGCGTAGATGAGGATCTGCTTGTTAGAGCATCTCATGTGCATTTGCCACTGGGACTCTGGATAAACAGCCCTTGCAGTGACACTTCTCCCTTTTGTGTTTCTAGAAAGCAGGCAGCATGTGCAGGGTGAGCCAGGGGTTTCCAAGCCCCTGTGAATTAGGGGTTGAAATTTGGCTCAGACCTCAACAATGGCACCTTCAGAGGCTGACGCGGTTCCATCTCAGCTGAGGGTTTCGCTGACAGAACGTAAATGGAAGCCACTCCAAGAAATTTGCTTTGTTTTTCTCTGCACTCACCCACCTTTGAGGTCCTGTGGTTCATCTCCCTCTGTTCTGTTTGCAGGTCTGACTGCCTCATTAAAACAATTCGGTCGGAAGGCTACTTTGGCATGTACCGAGGTAAGTACAGCTGACTCAGGCACAGCACAGCTTTTGCGTTGGAAGCACTGGTGCGTAAGTAGGAGGAAAAGCTCTGTTCTCTGGCATATAAAGCAATAACCTGGCAATATCCTAGGAGGTTGAACAGTGCAGCTGTTTCTAAAATAAACTCTTCCATGCAGATGTCTATTCAGATACCTACCACTGAGGACTTGAGTCCTCCTCATGACTATTTTGGTGTTAACCTTACCACTTAGTGAAGTTCATCTTTACTGGCAGTTTAAGTGAAGCTGCTGGACTTCATTTCAGGACTGTAGATTATGTTTCCCAGCTTGGGCATGGCAACTTTTGACAGAGGGGCAGCTCTTGAAGTTCTGTGGTTAATGATTGAATTTATGTTACAACCTTCCACCAGCGTGGTCAGGCCTGCTGTCTCAAGCATGCCCAAGTGCCCTGTTCAAGCATTAAGACAAGCTGCAATTTAAAAAAAAAAAATTAAAATAACCTGCCCTCCACTCCAAAAAAACTCCCTTGGGATGGTAAGAAAATCAGAGGTTGGCTCAGGGTGGAGCTTCAGCTGGTTGGTTGTTGTGTGCTGACCTGCTAGAAATCTCTTGGCTCCTTGGCTAAGGCTGTCTATTACAGCAGTGAGTTCCTCAGCTGACATTATACTTTTTATAGTTTAAACACAAAATTCCTGTAAGTTTTTAAAGATTTTGAGGAGAGGAGGCCAGCAGGCCAAATCCTGACTTCACTTATGGCAGAGGAAAACTTGGAATACCTCTTTGGCTTGCAGCACACTCCAGCTGGCTTCATTGACCCTGAGCTCTGGTTCATTTTGTGTCCTGATAGTCACCTGCCTGCATATGCAGTTTTTATCTGGGGTGCTCAGATAGCATTCTTGGTGGCACTCAGTCCCTGATAAAGCCTGATTAAAGTTATGCTGCTATGATTAAGTTTTGTCCTTGCTCTTTGTTTTTTCAAGCGGAAGTCCAGAGATACTGGCGCCTTGCTCTTGGCATGTGTAGTGTGCTGCTTCTTCCCTGCTCTTAAGGAAACACAGGCATTGTGGCTGGCCAGCCCAGGAGCAGGCACTGGATGTTCAGTGTTCACTCTTGCCCAACTTCCTGGTGGGCGTTTCAGGGGAGTGTGGTGGATGGCAGGGATGGATTGGCTGCTTTGCATCAGCTTTCCTGGGAGCAGGCAACAAGACAAATAACCTCAAGGAACCCTGGCAAGCTCCATCTTCAGTGCTAGCAGTGACGTGTTCCCCTTTGATTTTTTCCAGAATCTGGCTGCTTCTGTGTTCCTAGCCAGGATTTTGAGCTTGTGTTAACTTTGGCTGTAAATGTGCCCTGGCAGGCTGCTTGGCAGGAGGCAGAAGGAAGAAGCTGTTTGGGGAAACTTACAGGGGAGACTGTAGGATTGAGAGTTTTTGTGAGAATCAGGACTTTTGGGAGAGACAGCCTAGTCCTTTAAGGCTTAGAGTGGTAGAAAGGATGTGGATCTCCAGGCCGTTTGTCATCCCCAAGCAGAAGGGTACAGAGGGTTATGCATACTTCTTTATTTTCCCAACATTTCCCAAGTCTGGTCAGCTTGATCCACGTCTCTAACTCCGTTCAGGGTGCTGATAGTTGCTTGAAATTGCTTCTGGCTATTAAACAGGGAGCTGGGTTGGTGAGGCCTTTTCCACCTCCTTCCAGAAAATTACAGATACTTCAGCATGGCCGTGGTACAAATGTGAGTACTCTCAAGAGCAGCAATCCTGGTCTCTGTGCCTCAGTTCTGTGAGCTGACATGAGCAGCCCTTCCCTCCCTCTCAGGGAGAGGGTTGGTGGGTAAAATACATCCAAGGTCCATGAAGATTGTGTGAGTACTTTTCTGGAAAGAAGGTAAAGAGATATCTGAGCCTTGCAGACAGAGAAAGAGGGAAATCAGGTGGTGGGATTGGTTTCTGCTCTCTCCAGCTGTCCTAGTTCCCCAGCAGAATTTGCTGAATGACTCACAAGCTCTTATTTGCAGGCTTTAAGCTGAAATTGGGAGGATTATATGTTAATGTGCTAAAGTAGCAGCTGCTGCTCCCCATGGAAGAGTCACAAGCATGTCAGTTGTCCCTGCAGATCCTTTGGCCTCTGTCAGAGGACAGAAAGGGTTTGTTTGGGCACAGCCATTCCTGTAGTGTGACTTCAGAACTTCTTTGTGTGTGAATCAAATCTCCTCAGTACAGACAGGAGAGTCACTTGTGTTTGTAGGATGCTTTTCTGCAACTCACCTCTTAAGATATTTGTGTGGGGAAACAGTCTTTGCTTTGTATGAGTAGCCCATAGCAAACTGTATGATGTACAAGGCAATCCCAATATTTCTCTCAAGTTCTTCCCTAGAATTTACAGGAATTCTTGGATTTGTTTGGGACAGGAAGAAGAGGAGCTCCCTCATGGTTTTTTTCCCATTGCATTTGTATAGCAGCAGTACCTGGATGCTGGATGGTGCTGTGCTCAAGGAATTGATGTTGTGCAGCCTTAAAACATGATGCCAAGTGAATGAATCCAGAGTGCCTGTGGGCTCCTGGTCCCTATGAGCATCAGTGATAGGGGATCTTGGGGAGATGCTCTCTCAGCTTCCTACTGCAGTCCAGGCAGAAGCCACCTAAAGATCCCAGCACGTGTTCTGAGCAATCCCAGCACTCTATGCAGACCAAGTGTTGAGCCAAGCTGGCAGAAGCCAAAGGCCCAGATCAGGCTGAGGAAGTTCCCTTTGCTGTTGGTGACATTTGGAGGGTAGCTGCACTTCAGCTGCAGTAGTGTGGCAGCCTTCCCTGGCCTCTGCTAATAATACCTCCCAGTGCTGCACTGGGGATGACTCAATCCCCCTGTTATGTAGGCTGCTGGTGGTGTATAAGGGCTTCTGCGAGAAATGTGTTTTAATAAAAAAACAAGGCTTGGTGAGAAGAGGGCACCTACAAGTTTAGTTGACAAACAGCTAGATTTGTCCTGGTAGATTTTGTTCTTTGTAGTGCTTTGTTACTTATTTTCAAAAAGCTTTGTTTTTTTTTAATAATTCCTGTTTATTTTTCCATTCTGTTTGTCTGTCTTTGCTTGTGGTACATGTAGCATTGCCTGTAGGCCGAGGTTGGCTTTAGTTAGGGAAGTACCCATTGGCATGGGCAGAATTGAGGAGATTTTACAAAAAGAAGATGCTGTGGAAAGCATACAGCCAGCAGCTGGAGTATCTAATATCTCCTCCTCCCGTAAATTGAAGCTGTTATGGATTATTCAGGACAGGGATTATCCATTCTCTGCTAAGCAGCTTTACTGAAAATATCAAAGATGCAGGAGAAAACTCAGGTTCATTAACTTTTTTTCCTGTATGTTCCATGTTTTTACCTTCTGCTCTATTTGCAATTGAAGAGAAACTTCTGTGAAAGCCTCTTGGTTCCTGAAGGAGGTCAGAGGGTGGAAGTGCGCTTCTTGTGTACCTTTCTTGCTTGATAGTTTGGAGTTTGTTTGCTTTCTTTCAGTGAACCCTTTGCACTGGTGTTAAGAGTAGCAGGTTTATGCTTTTTTCCTTTCTCTTCTTGTTTTTCCAAGGAACAGGTTTATTCATGCTGTGTCAGTGTACAGGTGTTACACTTCATAGCCATTGGGAGTGTCGTTGAAGTTGTCTTCAACTTGGCATTTGAGGAAACACTTCATGGGTAGCCACTTCCACTTAAAATTAGGCTGTGTGGATTTGCTTTGTAGATCCTGATATGATTTACATTAAAAGGTGGGTGTGGAGCATGAAGGTAATCTGTAATCTCTGTGTGTCTTCTCTTTGTGTGCAAGAGCCATGGCAAGAGGCATGATGTGTATGTAGGAAGAATATCAAACTGAAGCAGCACAGTCACTGGTGCCCTTAAAAGTTTGCAAAGAACCAGAAGTGTGAGAGGCCTGCTCTGCTCCCTGCTGAGTTGGTTTGTGTACTGTGAAAGATGATGGCATTTGTTGGATGAAACAAATGACAAGGGTGGAATGAATGCTTTCCTTTGGCTTGCTGTGAGGCAGTGCTACTCTGTGTTTTCTGCAAAACCTGAACATAGGAGTTGAAAAGGGGGGAGATATGTTGGGCTGCCCAGCCCCGTGCAGCAAAGGCTGTCTTTTCTTGCTGCAATTTTCTGAATGGTGAAGGTGTGTCTTCTGAGCAGAGGATGTGGAGCCAAGAATTCCTGTGTCCCACTCCCCGTTGTAGTGGTCCCAGAAGTCCCATTGTGACTTTGCTTCCTAGTCTGAGGAAAGTCCCCTAAACTTACGTTTTTCAGTTCTTGAAGGAGAGGAGTCCATCCCAAGGAATAAAGGATTGAGCTGACTTTCTCTAGGTCGAGAAAGTCAGCCTTTATAGCTCCTGTCTGTTTGGGTTCAAAGGTCCTGAAAATGAACCCCACCAGGTCTTTGGAGCCTAGTGGGAGGTACAGGCTTCTCTGGCTGCTTCCCTTTGGCATATGAATCTTTGGGATAAATTGTTTAAATCTCAAAGAAAAGCATAAATGCCTGTATTTGTGTTTGTTCTTACAAAGGTGTTCTAGGCCATTAACCAGTCTCAAGTGTAGCTCCTTTGGAGGGCTTGGAGCTCAAGTCATTTCAGTGCAGGTAAGGAGAGCTTGAGGATATCCACTGGAGGACTTTTTGAGCCTTGGGATTTAAATGGAGGAGAATGTTCTGGACTGTTAATCTAATGGTGCAAACCTCACTCTGCTGGGAAGTGACTGGCCCTTCCCTCACCCCTTTCCCCCAGGGCAGCTTGAAAGCTGCTCCCAGCCACTGTGTTGCACTAATGTTGCACTAATGCCAGTGTTCAGGCCCACAGCAGCCAGCCAGGTCATGCAGGCCTTTCTTTGTGACAGGCACAATACAGGGATTTGCTGTTTGTTGCTCCTGACAAAAGGGCACTCCAGCGGGTGGGGGATGCAGGGAGCCAAGGCTTGTTTACATCCCAGGTCCCCCACCAAGCCTTGCCATGGAGCTCAGAGGTCAATTTCTGTGTGCTGCAGCTTGTGGTGGGCAAAAAGCCACTTCTCAGTGGTGGTTGTTCTGGGGGTGACACCCAGTGGTGACACACAGGGGAAGCCACTTAGCTCTAAGGGCTGGTCTAGAGCTGGTTCTGTGCAGATGAGCCAGGTGACTTTGGCCAGCCTCCAGGTCTTTCAATGGCTCTGCCTTTTCTGAGCTGCTTAGAATTCAAGCTGCTCAGGTGTGTTTGGGGAGGAAGCAGGGAAGGGATCCACTGAAGAGGCGGGGCAGGGGGTCTTTTCCTTCTCTGCGTTACAAAATATTTCCAAAGGAGTTGGGACTAGTTGTTAAACCATCTTGTACTCATTTTCTGAAGGTTTGATCTACATCCTTCTGAATTCATAGGAGTGCATCCTTGGATGAGAGACGAGGATGCCTGTACACATGGTGGGAGGTAGTAGTGAAGCTGAAGAAATTACAAAATACATATGGCAAATGGAGTAGAAACACATCTGGGGATGTTTTCACAAACCCAAGGTGTTGGGAGGCAGAAACACTTGTTAATTTTCAGTGGTGTTTTGTATTTCTAAATCTCTTTGGTGCACTGGAAGCTCTCCTGCTTCTGTCTGTGGTTTTGTGCATAAGTTACAACACATTCCTGAAAGATCCAGTTAACAATTCCGTTATTCTCATTATCCAATGGCCTTTTTCTCTCTTCCTTGCCCAGGGGCTGCAGTGAACCTGACTCTAGTGACACCAGAAAAGGCTATCAAACTGGCAGCCAATGACTTCTTCCGGCATCACCTCTCCAAAGATGGGTGAGTAGGGAATTGACCTTCTGCAGTCAGCTTAAAAGACGCCGACTCTTGCAACACGTCTGGTGAGACATCAGGAAAAGGTACAATGGGATAGTGCAGTGACTGAAATATGAGTTGACCTTGAACAGCTCAGCTGGTGATTACGTTCAGGCTAAGGATGCAATGTCTAAAATGGGAAGCATGAAGCACTCCACTGGATGACTGCTCTTTATTCGAGCTTCTAAAAATAGTCCCAGATTTAAGCCAAGGTTAGCAGATCCAGAATGTGTAGTCTAAGTATTTGAGAGGAACCCAATGTCACTGATCATTGCTCAAAAAGCTGCTGGGAGGACTCTTGTCCTCAGCGTCCTATTGGATCCTCTTATGATTCTTCTGGCTTGGAAGGGTATCAAATCAAGTTCTGTAGACCCCAAAACTTAGCACCCCTCTTCTCCTTTTGTACCTTGAAATAGTTTTAGAGGGGTGGTAAATCTGAATTGACTAAGGTCACTTGCAGCAGCTGACCTTCAAATAAATGCTGAAGGAATAAAATGGCCGGTTGAGCTTGCAAGTGGAGTTTGGTTCATGTGAATTAAACGTGAGTAAAAGGCATAAGCTGGAGCAGTTGAGAGGAGCTGGATCCTGAATATTTAATGCTGCTTTCACCAAGACATTTTCCAAATTGCATGGCAAATAGTTGTGTCTCCCATCAGAGAGAGGCCTTTCCCCAGAAGCAGACAAGGGCATTGTCTGCAGTCCTCAGTGACAGTAGCTAAAATGACAGCCTGCTTGGGACATGATCCCAGCAATTCCAATCAACAGTTATGAGGTGGGGCCTCAGTGAAAATGCAAAGCTCCATCACAATTACTGAGCTTAACAACTTCCCAAAACATATCACGTCAGTCTTGGCTGCTGCAGATCAGTGTGTCAACAACTGTAGTGGAGATTATGGACTGACACAGATTGAGAATCCATTTTTTTCCTGTACCTTTTATTTTTTTTTCTTTTGTTCTGGAGTCCTTTAAAGTAGCAGCTAACATATGTCCGTGTGACTCATCGGCTCACAGCTCTTCATGATTTTTTGACTCAAGTCTTTGAATAGTGTCTCTTCTGTGCTCTGCTCAGACAGTGGGAGGTAATGATGTCCTCTACCAAGTGGTGTGTCTCATCCCTGCAGCAGACAGCCCAGCACACCTTGGTGTACTGCAGTAAATAGCAGCACAGCTCTTTGCCACCACCTACAACTGGGGGCTTAGTAGCTTGTACAGGCCCAAAAAGGTGCCTCTTGTACTGCCACTAAGGGAATGGTTCCATGGAAGAAATCAGACTAGCATTGCAACATATTTGGCATTCTGGAGGAGCAATCACTGCTGTGATGTTTCAGCCATTAAAAGGGGACATGCCTGTCAGTCAATGTCCTGCACCATGAGAGGTAAAGGCTTCCTCAGAGGACAAGTGTGTGTGTGTGCCTCAGTGCTGCGTCCAGCTTTGAACAGGTCTTTGGGTAAGTGGGGTGCAGCTGTTTTCACTCAGACCTCTTCCAGTTTGACTTTTGGGTCACTGGCTGGTGCACACATGACATAGATGATATGCTGCACTTAATTCAGAATAAAGGAGCTAGAGAATTTTTCCAAGAGCAAGACACCCTGTTCTCCTAAATCTTACATACTGATGGGTCTGGCACTACAGTGACCTAGAGCAGGAGCATGATACCACCCAGGTAGTGGGAGGTCTTTGTGTCTCAACACAGAGCATTTTAGTTCTTTTAGAGAAAAGAGATGTTGGGCCACACTTAGGTGACAAGAGCTAGGCAGCACGTGGAGTCAGAGTCACTCATCTCATTTAATCACCATGGTGGGCTTGGATGAGTGAAATCTGGTCAGCTGTGCTCTTGAGGGTAGCCAGCATGAGTAGGACAGAGAGACAGAGCCTTGATACTACTGTGATAGACGATTTAAAGTATTTCTACTTAGAAATGTCACCCCAAAATATGATGGGAAGAAAAATGCCTTGCAGGTTTGCTGTGGCTGGTACAGGCTATGAATGTGGGATCTGTCAGTTTTTCTCCCTTGGGATGCTTCTATCCTATCCTCCCCAGTTTCCTTGGTAAGATGGGGCAGGATTAGCAGTGCTGGAATTTAAAGGCCTCTCCTACCCAGGACCCAACAGGGTGCATACCTGCTAGCTCATCACAAGGCTGGGCCACCTATTTCACAATTCCAGCCAAAGCCTAGTTATGAAAGACAAACTAGCTTGGGGTTAGAAAGGTGAAGCCTGGAGCTGCCTGGCACATGAATGTGGTTTCATCTCTTGATGTGTAATTCCATGAGTCAAGGTGTTACTTTGGGCAAAGCACAGTGGGGGGGTTAGGATCAATGTAAGGCTGGATCAGCAAGATCTTGGTTCAGCTCCATCAAAGTCCTTTTTGCACAAGCCAGTCTGTCTGCTGTGTATTTTCATAGATGCTGTGCCCTTAGGTCAGTATCCCAGAGGATTCTCTGACTCAAAGCTGCAGAAGTATTCTAGACCTGTTTACATTGAATGCCTTTGTGCTAAGCATCTAGCACTTGTCTTGCTTGAAATATGTTGCACGAATTGGTAATCCTTTTCTTATAAAATATCCCTGTTTTACCAGTATTTGCTGATTAAAATATGTGGTATTAAAATAGACCTCAATGTGCAAGAGGAGGAAGCATGTGTGGACCACAGAGAGTGTGGCAAATCCAGCATGACTCAAAGTAGCCTCAAGTCAAACAACAGCTTTCAGTGTGCATTAATGTATTTATTTTTATCCTTTGAAAAACTTAGTGTTGAAATTGCTTTTAAACTGCTAGGATAAAAAAGTGGCATAAAGCCTATTTTTGAAAGGCCAGACTGAAAACAGCACCTGTGGTGTAGGAAGCTCCTGACTGCGCATTGCTGGAAGAGTATTTTAGGGATGTTATCACTACAGGTTTGTGCTAGACTCCCTTTTCCCTGACTGTGCCCTTGGACACTGCTGGGGGCAGAGCTCTGGGGCAGCAGGTCCTCACAAGGGATCTCGTGCCCTTGTTGGTGCAGCTCTCTGAGGCCCTGTGTGTGCAGGTGTGTGTTCCTGCAGCCCTCTCCACTCTGAGGCTAGCTCAGGGAGGCACTCCTGCCTGTACCATGCTTTTCCCCTCCTTCTGGTGCAGGGAGCATGTGTGATTACAGGCTGGGGGACGTCATTTCTGCTTCTTTGCCAGTTTCTATTTCTTTGCCAGTTTCTATATCTTTGCCAGTTTCTATTTTGATGTCAAGGCCATTATGACAGCCTACAGCTACAGCTTTTTTGTTTTCTCAAGAAACAAAACTGAGTCGGTCCTTCCAAGCTGTCCTGGTCATTTAGGAATGAGGGAGGCCTGACTGAGTTGTGTGGGTGCTGAAAACATGCTTGTTAGTCTGTGGAGGAGAGGAGGGAGACCAAGGTACTGCAAATCTGAAGGGCACCCCATGACCATGACTGACAAAGGCAATAAGGGTCAAGTAATTTCCTGTGATGATTTTGACCTGAGAGCCTCCAGTTCCCAGGAGAAGAAGGTGGCCCACAGAAGAATCTCCAGGCAGGTCTTTGTTCCTGTGTCATTCTGTGGGGAAGAGTTTTCACTAGGCTGGGGAAGGCAGAATGTGGAGAGAGGAGAAACCCCAGGTCTTCAGGCTGCTGGAAACAGATGGGATTTTTTTTAACTCTGGCTTTTTGAAGCTGCATGTGTTGAGAGACTCAGTCTCATGGCTGCTGTTAAAATAGAAGTGGCTTCATTGTCCAGAGCAGAGGATGTGAGGAGTCACCAGGGCTAAGTGAAGTGCTTGGCTATAAAGCACTTAGCTATGAAGCTGAGAAGGCAATTTAGACATTAAGTAACCAGCATTTAAAGTACATCATTGATTATTGGGTGCTCAGTGTTTGAGGCCTCTTTGATTGATTTAAATATTGCCTGCTTCTTATATCCTCTTTGAATTTGGATGTTAAACACTTCATAAAACCAGTTCCTTTAAAATGCCCTACAAGGTTTTGTGTTTATCTCCAAAGTGTGGAGTGCCAGATAGCTGTTTTGTTGGGTGTGTGTTTGCCAGGTTTTGTTCATTTTTCAGGTTCTTGGTTAAATATTCTGCCTTGGCTGCAGTAAAAAGTGTCTCATGCCTTCTTACATAAGCAATTTGTTGCTCATAAAAACTTGCCAGTGTCCCTTGAAGAGTTTCCTGCTGCTGTTCTCCAAGGTGTTGTTCCCTTACTTACCCTGTCCTCTTTAATCTTGACCTTTATTTTGTTTGCTGTTCTGAAGCAAAGGCTGGCAATCTGCTGTCTTAGCAGCTCGGATTCCTAGGAAGACCAGCATGACTGACTTAATTTTGCCTCTGCTGATGCTAGCAAATTTTCTTCTATTCTGCTTCCTCTTGTCTTGTATCTTTGCACAGGGAAGAGAAATAGCCAACTGGTAATCCTGGGACAAGCAAGGTATTTTTCCTTCCGTCTTATGCAGTTGTGGAGACTGGAGCTTGTTGTTCATTGCCTTCCCAGCTGATATATCTCCCCAGGGCTCTGTCCTTCATCTGCTCTTCTTTCAGGCTCTCGTAAAATACTTGGACCATCTCTTCTGTGGCATGAGTTTAAGTATCAGTTGCATGGCTTGGATGATCCTTGAGCTGCAGAATACTCTTAGTCAGGCTGTAAAGTGAGGGTCTCAATTTAGGAAGAAGGGGTGCTGCTAGCCCTGGTGCTGAGCTGCTCTATCACCCTGCACACACTGTGCTTGGTCTTTCTTTGGCACTGGTGTGCCCAGGCAGCCTCTCCTGCAGTTATCCACTGGATACTCAGACATTTCTTTAATGCAGGTAGCCCTCATTCAACTCGCTGAGACTTGGAAGTGGGGAAATCTCTCCCCTTCCCCTAGAGAAGGAGGAGCTGATAATGTCACTGTGCCAATTCAGGAACAGCTGTTTGGGGAGAGCTCTTTTATTTAGCACACAGAGGCCAGGCAGTTGCAGTGGGTTGAAGCTGTTGACATCAAAGGTCAGCCAAAAAGCAAATGCACTTTCAGCTGTTAATCTGGAGGGAGATAGAAATGTGCTGTTTAATCACAGAAGGCACCCATGGGAGGAGCATTGTCCTTGTCATCATTCCAGGCACATGTCTTGGGATGAAATGTGGGTTGTGTCTGTGTTCAACATGCTCAGTCGTGTTACCCTGTCCATTGTTGACTTCCACAACTGTTCACATTGAAACAAAACACTTGGAATTTCCTGCCAGGGCAAACCTGATGCAGGTAGAGTCAGCCTCCTCTTGACTCAGCCCAAACATGCAACACAGAGCTCCTGCACATTCCTGGAATAATGACTTCCAGATCAACATTTAATCTGGCAGTGTTACTTTGAGATGTATCTGTTCCACATCAGTACTTTATTTGGCTTGTCTGAGGCATTTTTGATCTGGCACTAGAAGTGAGAGGGAGCTTTTAGTGGGAACTGTATTGCTTTTACATTTCCAGCAGCATAGCTCCAGCTTTTCTGAAGTGCAGTTGCAGTAGCTGGTTCCCCCTTGGAAAATCAGGGGTTGGATTAAAGGGCAGTTTGTGTTCATACCCCCTGTGACTGTGGCAGAGAGGGTGCTCTTCCTCTGAAGGACAGCTCCTATGTGCTGGTCTTCTAATCTATATCAAAGACCCACTATTTAAATTGTTTGAAAGGAACTGGCTCTGTCTGCTTTGAAAACTCCTGGGGAGCTTTCTGCAACCTCTTGGGCTGACAGACACAGGCAGAGGTTATTTTATGAGTGAGAAAGGTTATGTCCAAGATGGGGTCAGTAGCCTTTTGGGTGGGAAATAGAAATGGATTGCTTTGGATGGATGTTTCTTTAGCTCAGAGATTTCCTCTCTGGAAATGTTGTCATCCTGATTCCAGAATGGCTGGTTCTGGTCTCTGCCCAAACACAGTAAATTCCCACATGGTCAAGATTCTGAGAAACTTGAAAAAAATCCTAACTACTCCCATGTGACATCAATATATCAATGGTGTCAGAGATCCTAACTTTGAACTGATTGCTCCCCAAAAGCCTTCCATAAACCTTTAGTTTCTCTTTTTAGACTTTATTTTTTGGTTCCAGTTTGAAACTCTAAATCAAGCATGTATCTCCTCCCCTTCCCATGTGACATTTTTACTTGTCACAAATTAATGGTATGCCAGTAAAAAATGTAGAACAACTGATTTGTGCCAGTGCAGAGTTTGAGGCTATTGTGTATATGTTATATTTAACACTCTCTTGCTGTGATAAAAGATGGTTTCTGCATTTGTAGGACCAGATCTTTGCTGGTGTTGCAGCTTTTGAAGTTAGTTGAGATGTGCTGCTTTTTAAACCACTGAGATAAGGCCACTGGTGCCTTAAATATTTAAACTCCTTTGTTGTCTAGAGATGAACAGTTTTCAAACTTTCCTTTTTATGTGCAGACTGGTGAGGTTTTGCAAAGGCAGTTTGACCCCTGTATAGCAGCTTTTAAACCTCCTGTCAAAAGATTTGCTTATTTTAAGCTACTTCTTTTCTTGGACTCTCCCCAGTTCCCAGGATGTGCAAACCAAAAGCTGAAAGCCCTTGTTCTAGATGCTTTTGATGTACCTGTTTGACATTTCTAAAATACACCCACATGTGTAAATCCTTCCTTGGGCCATACTGGCATAGCTCCATGGAATTCAGTCAAGTCATGGCTGACTTTAGTTGGCTGGGATAATGGTCCAAGATGAATATGTAGGCCAAATCTTCCTGATCTTTTTGAACTGGTTATCAAAGCAGTCACCCTGGATGAAAGCCAGAAGATATATACTCTAGGGATGCTCCAGGGCTATTGCTAAAGTGGGAGATGCTCTGCTGTGCCAAAGAGAGATTGTGGCAGCCAGCTCCTTTGGGTGGTTTGCTCCCTTCCACAGCCAGGCTGGGGATTGTGCAGCCTTGCTGCTGACTGTATCGAGCCACTCAGAGACTGGTGCTGTGCTTCAGGCCACCCAAAAGGCACAAGTTGACTGCCTCCAAGTGGCAGTGGCAGTGGGAACCTCTGGATTTACACACCCTAGTTCCCCACACCTCCAGGAAAACCTGCTGTGCACACTTCAGCACCCATGTGGGTAATTCCATGGGAGGGATTGTTCTTTGCAGCTCCTAATCTGTGGGGAAATTTGAAAAGGGGAGACTGAAATATTCCTTCTTTCAGCCTTATAGGAGAGCTCTATATTTAGTCACTGGTAATCTCTGTTGTGGCTCTGTGCCTTTAATCCCTTGCTCTCATATCCTCCCTGGAGAAGATGAGAGGTGGAGAAATCAGCCCAGCTTACGTGGTGGGCCAGCAGGATTATTACTGTGCATCTGCCCTCCCTTTCCCATAGGGTTGGCAATGAAACTGCTGGCCCACTGTCCCACAGCTGTGCTGTGTGTGTGTGCTTGTGAAACCCCTGGCAAGGGGCTGTGCAGGGGAATGGGGAATATCACAGTGGGAGTGCTTTTGCCACAGTGTGGGGATGTGCCTTGGGCTGGTTAAGGTGAGGTATTGCTGCAGAGCAGGGCCGAGGGAGGTAAAAATGGTACTTGCATTTAAAACAGAAAAAAGAGGAGGCTGTTTCTCTCTGGCTGTGTGATTTATACACACTTCTTTTTTAAACCCTTTTAGAAAAGAGCAGGTCAGGTGTACTTTTTAATCAAGTCTATGTTTTCTGGTGCCAAGGCGTGAGGTTTTTTTACAGGGCAAAAACATATCACTTTCTGAAAATTTTACGAGGTTTTACATCCTGAGTTCCTTTTTTTAGTCTTAGCTGTGCTCTTTCATAGCTTTGGAATGGAGGGAACAATGAAATGATGCATTTTGCTGCGTGAGAACATGTTGCTGATAATCCCTGCTCTGTAGTGCAAACAATGCACAAATCTTCATTGCTGGAGGTCCATCCCATCCCTTGTCTCTCAGGGAGGACCAGTTTAGTGCAAAGGCTATTTGTTCAGGTTTGGAAAACCTGGTAACATGAAACAGCTCCTAACCACAGAGGAACTGCCTCCCTGATTCATATTCACTGTTTATTTACTTTGCTTTTCTCAGAGAACTCCAAAGCAGCAAGTAGAATATTTTCCCTCCTTGCTCCGTGTCCTGTGACCTATGTTTGTTGACAATTTTTAAAGGACTAGGCTGGCAGGAGGAAAGCTGCTTATCCCCCTTAATGCTCAGGTCCTCTGCTGCCCTCTGAAGTGATACCCTTTCTGAAAGCTGTGCCCTGATCAGGGGCATCATCAGGCTGGAAGAGAGCTGCAGTGCTCTGGCTGTGGGTGGAGGGGGCTGTGTGCTCCTGTCTGGGGCTGTTCTGACGGGGCTTGTGGCTTTTCTGAATGTTCTGTTTCTGAGGACAAAATGAGTCTGTTCTCCAAGTCAGGTGGTGCTGGCAGAGATGCCAAGCCAGGGTTGTGCTGAACTGTCGGCCTAGCAGGTTCTGCTGTCCCCTTGGCTGCCTTTCCTGTAACCCCCAGTGTCAGAGATGTGCCCCGAGCTTTGTACCCAGCTGCTCAAGTGTTATTCAAGGCCACCTCCTTTGATGGACTCTCTCTCTTTTCGTTGGGCAGGAAAAAGCTGACACTGCTGAGGGAGATGCTGGCAGGCTGTGGTGCAGGTACCTGCCAGGTCATTGTCACCACTCCCATGGAGATGCTCAAAATCCAGCTGCAGGACGCAGGACGCATTGGTACGTGGACTTTTTCTTCCCTGTGCCCTCAGCAGGGAGAGGGGAAGGAGCTGGGACTGGGCTTTCAGGGAAGAGCTGAGAGGATGAGTGGAGAAAACCTTTTCCCTCCCCCTGCTCTCCCACGTCAGAGATACCACAGATGTAGCCAAAGTTTCTCCTCCCCTTCCCAGCTTACTTCCCCCCACACTTTGCTCAGCTGGCTTTGCAGAGGCCCTTGCAGTTACAAAAGGTGGTGGGTTTTTTGCTTAAAGCAATAGGGCTGGCAAGCAAAACAGCAAATGCTGTTGGTGGATGGAGAGACAGGAGAGCTAACTGGGTGGTCAGCTTGTGAGTGATTCAAACCTGGCAGATCCTGTGCACCCAAGAAGGGATTAACATCCTCCAGTGCCTTTTCTGTGCTGCTTCCTCCATCTCCATGTTTTCTGATGTCTGTTTTTTCTCTGTTCTACCCCCCTGTAGCACCTCCCCAACAGCTTCCCAAGGGGATGTGTTATTTTCAGATGACTTGTCTCCCCTTGTACTCTTTTTTTCTCCCTGACAAAAACAGCAGTTGTTTTGGTTGAAACAGTAAATAAAATTCTCCCAGAGCACTGGATTTGAATGAAATTTGGGATCAGGCTCTTGGGACTGTGGGCATGAGCTGGCAGGCAGAGGCAGGAGGGAGTGTGAGCCTTTTGGCTGAAACACTGTGGAGTGTTTCTGGTGAGAACAGAGACCAGACTCTGGCATGGAGACTCCAGGGGAAAGAGCTGCTTGCTCTTTCCTTAGTCTCTTCCAGAGGTCAGTCTGGGCTACAGCCTCACTTCCCAGGAGCCCTGCGTGACACTGTTAGATACCAGCATTATGGCCCTTCCTGGAAAATGGGCCAATTTGTCCTTTAATCTCTCATTTGATGTGGCATTCCTGAATAATCACGGATTTACTTTTTCTTTTCTCTCTTCACTGGTTCTACTGCAGACCTTATCCTCTTTGTGCGTATTATTTTAAAATGTTGGAAGGATTTAAGCCGTGGTTTGAGGGTTCAGGAGAGGTTTCCGATGCTGTGAACAGCCTGTTCTCTGTGTGGTGGGAGAGCTGTGATGTGCTGGGATTGCTTACAGAGTGAAGTGCTCTCCATCTTCTGGCCAAAGGGCCGAAGTGCATCAGCTGGAAAAGTGGGAGAAACCAGGATGTGTTTATAAACGTGACTGAGAAACCAGGATGTGTTTATAAATGTGACCAAGAAACTCCCCAGGTTAATGATTGCTTTCAGGGGAGGGACGCAAAGAACAGAACTTGGGAAGCTGTCTCGTTTATGAACATCTTGTTTGTTATACTGGCAGCTCAGGGCCACAGCTGGAAGCAGGGACTGTCCCCGGCCTGCCCACAGCAGCTCTTGTTCCCTGCACTGCGGAGATGGTGTGTGACAGGCTCGGGCAAACCAGCTGCTGGGAGAGCGCAGCCGACAGCCAGCCTTGTGCTGTGGCAGCGCTGTCAGCCTGGGACAGGCTGAGGGAGATGGGTACATTGGGGGGTAAAGCTTGCAGGGCAGCTGCCTTGCCTTTGTCCGCGTGCTGTGCTGCCCCTGTGGCTCCGTGTCCCGGCACCGGGTGGCAGGAGGCCGCAGCGGGGCCCCTGCAGACCGGTGCTGGCGCTCTGCTCCCCAGCGGCACAGAAGAAGCTCATGGCGGCGCAGGCCCAGCTCTCCTCCTCCCCCGCCGCGGCGGCCGAGCCGGCCGTGGAACGGCGCCCCACGGCGACCCAGATAACCCGGGAGCTGCTGCGGAGCAAAGGCATCGCCGGACTCTACAAGGGCCTGGGAGCCACGCTGCTAAGGTAGGTGGCTTGGGCTTGAGCACAGGGCTCTGGTGTTCCCAGACTTGGGTCTAAGGCACTACCCTTCCCAGGGATGAGCCTGCAAAGGAGGTGATGGCTTCAGCGGGTGTGGGCTTGGTTTAGTTCGTTTTCCATGCACAGGTTTTGTACACTAAAGAAGGGAAGGTCAGAGAAGTGAGGGAGGAGGTTTTTTTGTTCCTACAAGATTTAATCCTGCTGCTTTCTGTGAAAGGTTTTTGTCTGCCCCACGGTCTGTATTTTCACTGCACAGAAGTCCTTGTGAACTGGCAAAGTAAAACCATCAGCCTGAGACCCCAGGGTGTGCATGGGCACTGGGCCACAGAGCACCTTGGATGCAAGGACCGGTGTCTGCTCTGGCACTCCTTGCCTGGGCTTTCACAGTGTCACTGTCCTCTAGCTTTAACAAAGGTAGAGCTAACGCAGCACCCAGGGGGATGGAGGGCAGCATGGAACCTCTCGTAATTAACAAAAGTGGTCAAAACAATTGACCTCTGAATGTGCCAGTGTCTTTGGTTTGAGTGTTGAAGAAAAGGGGGAGCCCACTGATCCTAGAGGGCTGCATGCCTCCTATGGGCCTGTTCTCCTTTGTCCAGTCACTTTTGCCCCACTGAGTTTCAGCTCGTGGCTGTGCTGCCAGTGTGTGATGCTTGCAGCCCTTCCTTTGCTCAGTTTGTTGGTGTCCTCTGCTGACTTCACTCATCCTTCTTCTTTCTTTTTTCCTGCCCCACTGCAGGGATGTCCCATTCTCCATTGTTTACTTCCCGCTGTTTGCAAACCTGAACAAGCTGGGCCAGAAAGACCCCAATGTCAAGGCTCCGTTCTACGTGTCCTTCCTCTCTGGATGTGTGGCTGGCAGTACGGCTGCAGTGGCTGTCAATCCTTGTGATGGTGAGTCCTGAGCAACCTGTGCTGGTGGCCTGATGCCAAGTGACAGGACTCAGAGGCCCAGGCTGGGCCAGGTGAGGAGGAGGGTAACTGTACCAGCCTTTTTGCAGCATGAGCACACAGAAAGGGACAGCTCTGCTGCCTCCAGCTCTGATGGTGTGAGTTCAGCTGTGCTACAACTTTGGCCACAGCTTACACAGAGGTTTGCAGTGCTTACTAGGTATGTCAGGAAGAGAGTGTCATTTATTTCAGATATTCTTGGCAGGAAATTCTCATTTCCATGTGGAGCGATAATATGCAGACCACAAGTGGTCTTAAAATTGTCTGGGACAAACAGGGGAAGCTTCAGATCTGTGGCCTTTTCTCCTGCTCCACAGCATCTGCCTTAAATACCACCTTGGTTTCCCTCCTGTGAAAAACAGCAGAAAGTCACTGCTCCCTCCCCAGTATTGCACATGCTCCAAGGTGTGAAGAAATGTAGGAGCGGAACTGTGTGTTTTAGGTACCTCTTCCTGAAGGAGATGAGCATGTGAAAATAAGTTTCCACTTTGCAGAGACATTTCTAATTTGGAAGGTTTAAAGCTTCAGTCAGCTTTTGAAACCTTGATCACAGTGAGGAAGGGAGGGGTTGGGTTTTGGGTGGCTTTGTGTTTCTTTTATCCATTTGCAAAGGAATGGGTTTGTTTTCCCTGATAAATGTATGAAAATGGTCTGTATTCTTGGTAATTTTGTTTTGACCATTTCAAAGACATTACTCTCAGGGTAGCTCCTGCCTGCTATTCCTCCAGTGCTCACCAGTGTCTCCCCTCTCTTTCCTCCCAGTGATCAAAACGCGGCTGCAGTCCTTGCAGAGAGGAGTCAATGAGGACACCTACTCGGGGATCCTGGACTGCACCAAGTAAGACTCCTCATGACAGAGGCACCACATCAGCTGTTTGGCAGCTGCTGCTGCCTGCTGCCAGGCAGGCAGTGCAGCTTCTAGACCCAGCCAGCAGCTGTGCTTCGTTCCCTCTGTCCCTGTGCTTTTCTCAATCTATCTGGAGATATACATAGATATATGAGCAGATGTATATATATAGTTTTATAAAAGAGAGCTTCTTTCCATATTGAGCAAGAAAAAGATAGCATTTATATTTAAATACTTCTGTCCAAACCCCAGTAGTCATAACACTGAGATTTTATTTCTGCAAAGGGAGGCAATGTTGTAGTCTCTCCCAAGGCCCCACTGTTGGAAAATCTTACAGTATTGAGTCTCATATCCCTCCTGGGACTGCTCTACACAGTGTCTGCAGGAGCACTGCCAGTGGGCTGTCCCCAGCTGCATTATCCTCTGATCCTTTGCTAAACTATGGTCTGACTGCTTCAAAACATGAAGGGACTTTTTCTGCTTTTGTATTTCAGTGGTAGCCAGAATCTGTTGCCATCTGGCTCTGTCCCACGCTGAAGGTGGTTCTTTTGAGCTGGGAGACCTCTTGATGCAGGCATGGGGTTGTCTTAGCTGTACTTACAGACACGGGCAGCCACTCCTGCATCTGCTCTGTCCCATGCTGAAGGTGGTTCTTTTGAGCTGGGAGACCTCTTGATGCAGGCATGGGGTTGTCTTAGCTGTACTTCCAGACACGGGCAGCCAGGTGCAGGGATGGGGCAGGTTTCTGCACGGCCACTTGCAGAGCACTTGGGCAGTGATGGGTGATTTGCTGTGGGGGCTGTGCCAGGCAACAGCGCTGGCCTGGATTTAGTCTCTGGAGGGAGGCAGAAAGGCGGGGCATGACCAGGGGCTGTCCTGGCACGGTGGAGGGGTGGGATGGACACTTACCTGTCTGTGCCATTTCTCCCCAGGAAGATCTGGCAGAGGGAAGGGCCCACGGCCTTCTTCAAAGGGGCCTACTGCCGAGCCCTGGTCATCGCTCCTCTCTTCGGCATTGCACAAGTCGTCTACTTCGTCGGCATCGCGGAATTCCTGCTGGACATGCTCCCCAAGCGCCAGGCCTAGCCTGGAGCGGCTGCGTGTGCCCTCCCGCCCTCTGCAGCACTGGATTCATCCCCGTGTTCGCCATCCGTGTCGATCGATGTCACAGCAACAGCACAAAGGGACCCGGTGCCCAGATGGGCAGACTGGGGAGAGAGAGTCCCTGCTCTGCCGCCGTCTGGAACCTGCCCCCTCCCGCTCCTTCCACGGACAATATTAATTATTCCTCTCTCTGTCTCTCTCTCTCTCTCTCCTTTTAATTTCCCGGTTTTTGGTTTTAAATTGTCATTCTTAAGGACACTGGTAAGCACAGACTGGGCTTGCAGACCCAGAAGTCTCCTCTCAGTCTTGGGAAGGAGGAGAGATGGGAAAGAAATAACTTCAATCCTCATCCACCTCAGTTTCCCTTTCTACCTGGAGCTGCCAGCCATCTGAGGAGGAGCTGCAGGGGCAGCTGTGTCCCCTCAGCACCTCCTTGGCTCTGCTGACCTCGGGTCAAGAGTGAATGCTGCACAAAGGGGGCTTATCTCATTGCTGCTGGAGGCAGGGGTGGGGGGGATGCTGGCTCTGGCAAGTTCCTTGGCCTGGAAACCTTCAGTCCTCCCTTCTCCCTTTTTAAAAAACTAGTTGGACTTAAATGAATTCTGACTGTTCCTATTGATTTTGTAATTATTTTTGTTTTAAAGCAAAGGGATGTCCCTCCTAACCAGGTGTCACAGGCACATCCGGGTGAGGTGCAGAAATAAGGTGTCTGCTTTGTAGGGAACATGTCTGTGGGATCACATGAATGTCCAAAGGTGCTTCCCTGCTTGGCTACAGGCACGGAAGGGAGACGAACTTGGGATCAAGTTATTTTTGTTTTGGGGGGGGGTTTTTTGTTTGTTTATTTTTGTTTGTTTTTATTTTTGTTTTATTAGCTTGGTTTTTTGGGGGGTTGTTTTGTTTTGTGGGGATTTTCTTTAGTTCTGTTTTGGGGTTTTTTGGTTGTTTGTTTGGTTTTTGTTTTTGTTTTGGGGGGGGTTGTTTGAGTTTTGGTTTTTTGTTTTTATTTTTTTATTCAGGGTTGTGGGGAGGAAAAACCAAATAACAAGAAGCCACTTACATTCCTTCAGCCTGCCCACCCCTAGAGTGATAAAGCTGTGGCTGCAGGTGTAGATCAGCTGATCTGATTTTTTCCCAGCCTGACCCCAGGTGTGTGGAAGGAGGCACTGGCTCCAGCTCTGGCACTGCCCAGCCTCATGGAGCAGCAGTAGAAATGCTGCACCTGTGGGCTCACCCTGCCAGGTGAGAACACAAGGTCTGGTTGTGCTCTGATGTTTGCCTTGGGTGTGACTGGAGCCAGTGGGTGTGGAAGAGGCAGAGGGTTCACATTCTCTGAGCAGGGAGCTTTGTGTGTCCAGCACTTGAGGGGGTGAGTCCCGAGCATCACAAAACACCCTGTTTGCTCCCTGGTAGGGATCAGTGGTGGGTGGCAGGGGGCAAATCCACACCTACAGCCTGCTCTGTCAAAGGGACACTGCCCCAGCTAATATCACTTGTCAGAGGAATTCCTCATTCACTACTCTCTTGGGCTGTGTAATTAATTCTAGTTTAAATGATCTTAAGTGTGAGATCTACCAACCCAGTGTGATCTTCTCCGTTATTTATTCCATTTGGTGCGATCCACCCAACTTTGGTGTTGAAATTAAACTGGTTGAATTCACTTTTCATTCCTTCTTTTTGCTTTATTCTCCAGGCGCCTGCTTGGTGTTTGTGTTTTGAATGTGTATTTAAATTAATTTTTTAAATATCCTTGCTTTTAATGTTTAAAAGAAAACCACCTCTGTTTCACCGCTCTTTGGTTAGGTTTTTGTGAAACCTGTATGTTGAGGGCCTTCTTCCTTGATGCATCCTTTTTCTCTTTGAAAAAGTTGTTCTGTGGCTGATTTGTTACTTGTCACTTCGCATATGTGAATAATTTTCTTTTTCTTTTCTTTTTTCTTAATGACTTCTCCGTGTATCTTGGAAGGAATCTGTGCAAAGGCAATGATAGATGTCTGTGCTGTGTGTAGTGCTGTGATGCTGCTCTTGCTCTGGATTTCCCTTGGGTGGATTAAAAGAGAAAGGTTTATTTTATTTTTTTTTTTCTTTAAGGTGCTTAAGGTTCCTTGCTGCTTTTTGATTTACAGGGAGGGTCCCCAAAAGAGACCTTGCTGATAAAACTTTTGAGGTTTCAGCTTTCCCTTCTTCCTGCAAGGATTGTCCCTGGAAAATGGGTGACTTGTGGCTGCAGGGATGTGCGTGGGGCGCAGGTTTGTATGGTGGGGTTAAGTTTGGAGGAAAATTTGGTGCAGTGAAGGGCTGAGGTTCAGGGAAAGCTCTCCTTGTCCTTCGGGATGCTTTAAAAACTTCTTTGTGAAACTGACTCTCCTGAAATCTCCAGCTCTTCTTCCACTGTGCAGGATCTGGTGACATAAATGAGGGTGATTTTTAGTTTCCTGGACATGTCCCTGAGCCAGCAGGACCTGGGGAGGTGGCAGAGGATAACAGCTGTGGCCGTGCAGGACAGGTACCCCCCTTTCCAGGCAGGCAGGGTCCTCCTTGCAAAAAGAAGAAAAAAAAAGTTTAAAATGGAAGAATTCCCACCAATGGAATTAATCACCTATTAACTGAAACCACTCTGCATTGATTGCAACATTGAGGAATGAAAGTAAATAAACACGCCCCTGCTCGTCTCCCTGCAAGTGCTGCTTGTCCTGGGGCAGGAGCCAGCAGCCAGCACCGCTCCTTGCTCTTCCCGCTTGTTCCTCTGGCAGAGGGTCCCTCCACCCACCCCGGGCCCTTTCCAGCCTTACCTTGTCCATGTCAGCCTTGTCCCTTGCTGCCACTCTGACCTGGCTCTCCTGGCCCCTCTTTGGGTTTCACGGTGTTCACTGCCCTTAAATACATTTTGCTGGATCTGCTGAATGCTCCTGTCCTGGGTTCAGGTGCTGAGCCAGTTCTGGCTTGTGGGATTTCCTGGAACAGAAGGATGAAATTTCCTAAAAACCTGGGGAGAAATTCCTTCAAAACAAAAGGAAAAATCCTGGCAATCAAGAGGAGAAACCACCCTAGAAAGCTGAATGTCCTGGATTACAAAGGAGACAAGACAATTTCTGTAGGACAGTGTAGGAATTTCCATGTGAGAACTAGGGACAAGTCCTTGAAAACAAAGGGGGAAATATTCAGGGAATTTCTAGAAAGCAATGGGGGAATTTCCTACAAGGCTATAGGGGGGATAGCCTAGAAATAAAAGGAGGGAAATTCCATGAAAGCAACGAGGAAATTCCCTCAAACACCTGGGAAATTCTTGAAAAGCAGAAGCGACATTGTTTAAGTAAGAGTGCCATTTCCAAGAGGGGAAATTTCCCAGAATGCAGAGGAGGAATTGGTGGATAGCAAAAGGGGAATTGCCTGGAGAGGATGAATGATACTTCTTGGGAGAGAATTTCTTGCTTCCCAGTGTGAGGAAAATCCACAAAGGCTAGAGGTTTGTGTCCAAAAAGAAGGCAGAGGAGCTCTTCAACTTTATTCAAATAAAGTGAGAAACTCCACCAAGGCAGACACCTGTGGCATTTTCTCTCTGGAGGTTTCAGAGGGGGCACTCTCCTTTTATCCTCAGCTCCCAGCTGCATGTTGCCCTCTCCCTTTCCCCACTGGCTGAGGCACCAGGAAGGTTCAGCCTTCCAGAACCACCTACCACGTATCCCACCTTGCACCTACCGTTTTACCCTAAAATTCAGGAACTCGGGCTGTGCAGACCCTTGTCTGTTTCAGGAGCAGAACTGCCTGGGCTCTGCAACAAACCTGCTGCCCAAAGTCGGTAGAGACACCGGGACCCATTTCAAAGACCTTAACACCCAACCCTCACCCAGCAAATTGTTTGTAGAGACATGAGCTTTCACCAGGGAGTAACAGTCATGGGGAAATTCCCCAGGAAAGCAATGGAGATCCATCCTCTAAACAGAGGGAAACATTGTAGACAGGGATGGAGCACTCTAGAAAGCAGCAAAGACATTTCCCAGGAAACAAGGAGGAAATAGCCTGCAAAGCAACTGGGAAATTTCCTGAGAGCAACGGGGGATTTTTTAGGAAGGAAGTGGGGAAATTCCTGGGAAACAGCAGGCAGTGTTCTGAAAAACCATGTAGAGTGCCTAGTAGGCAGAAGGGAGTTCCTGGAAAGAAAAAAATTTCCTCAAAAACAAGCTGCACATTGGGAAAAAGGCTGCAGTCCCATGCTTCAGCCCCACTGACCCCTCCACCCTGTGAAAAACACCAATCACTTGTTTTTAAAATTTTAAAAGTTTAATAGTAATAAAATTATTACCAAAATAGCAATATAATTAGAGTAATAAAAAATTTGGACAATTTGGATAGGACAATATGAGACAATAAAAAACAAAGAGTTACAGACAATCTGGGTACCTCTTTCTGGACAAAATAAGCCCGAAAAAGGGGCCACGTTAACAGAGGATTAACCCTTAAGAACAACAGCCTGTTGCATATTCATACACCTTATACATTATGCATAAATCCATTCAAAAAGAGGATTTTGTCTGGTCAGTGTCAGCTTCTTCCTCTTAATCCTAACCGTGTCTTCAGGGCTGAGCGAGGCTGGAAGAAGTTAGTTTCTTCTGATAATGAAGCAATAAATTCATTTTCTCTGGAAGATTTAGGTGTTCTGTGGCTGCTATCTGGTGCAAGTACTTCATTCCTTTCTTTAAAAAAATATCCCACATTCATAGTTTCTATTTTAACATTATAACCTAAAACTATATTCAACACACTAGTTAACAAATTTAATACAACATAACTTTCTAACATAACAAATAGAATATTCATTTTAATATTTGCAAAAAGCCAATCATAAAATACGCATTTTTCACAACCCTTTCCTGGTCCTTTGGTAAGGAACTCGAAAAACCTCTCAGGGAGTTCGGGTTGTTTTCAGTGCTCCCCACAGAGCTCAAAGGGCTCCGGGAAGAGCCGGGCGGTCGCTGCGGCTGCCCTTGACCCCCTTCCTGCGGGGGCACGGGCTGCCTCCGCTCTGCCTCGGTGCCCAGCGCGGCCCGCCGCACTCTGCCCTTCACTGGTTGGTCACTTCTGGCACACGGCCTTAGCGTGCAAGCCAAGGCAGCCGGGAGAAGAAGGATTAAAATAAACATCTGGACGTGGCCCGGGGGTTTCCAGCTCCGGGAAGCCCCCGCTGGAAGGGGTGCGGCCGATCCCCCGCGCTCCGGGATTCCCACGCTCAGCTTTAGGTCCGGTTTATTTATTTCAATACGGAGCCTCCGGGGCGGGGCGTGCGCGGCGCGGCCGGAGCATCGCGCGGCAGCGGCGGCGCTTTCACTTTCGGAAGGGACACGTGATTTCCAGGAAAACGGGAGGGGCGGATAAAGGATCGGGAAGGAGGCGGGTGAGGGCATTGCCTGGCACGGCACGGCACGGCACGGCACGGCACGGCACGGCACGGCACGGCACGGCACGGCACGGCGGCTCTGCGGACCCGGCACCATGGCAGCGCCGAAGAAGGATGGGTAAGCGGCGCCCAGCACCCCCGGGTCGCCGTCTCCGGGTGGCCCCGGTCCCCCCCGGTGACGGTGTCCGCCCGCAGGGAAGCCCAGAAGCTGCGGTTCGGACAGTGGCTGCTGAACGCCATCAACAGCGGGAGCTACCGGGGGCTGCGCTGGATCGACTCTGCCCGCACCATCTTCCGCGTCCCCTGGAAGCACAACGCCAGGAAGGACATCACCAGCAGTGACCTGGAGGTCTTCAAGGTGGGTGGCATGAGTGTCGCCAGCAGCGACGTGGAGATTCTCAAGGTGGGCGGGATGGGGGTCGCCGGCAGCAGCCTCAGGGTCTTCAAGGTGCGTGGGATAGGATGGTGGGATAGACCTCAGCAGGAGGGAGCTAGGGAGGTGGGGGAAGACCAGTCATCCCTGGAAACCTCCATTCTCATGGAGCCAGGCACCCCATGTTCCCCTCCCTGCACCCCCAGGCCTGGGCAAAGATCAGTGGGCGGTATGAGGAAGGCTCCGAGGACCCGGCCAAGTGGAAGACCAACTTCCGCTGTGCCCTGAGCAGCACGCACTTATTCAGGCTGGAACAGGACCATTCCAAGCGTGGTGATGACCCCCACAAGGTCTTCTCCGTTGTCTCAGGTGAGCCTCGCCCCATGGAGGGGCTGTGTTGGATGGGGTGGGCAATCTCAGGGCCTCCCATTCCTGGTCCTCTCCTTTCAGCCACTCTCCAGGACAGCAAGGAGGGAGATTCCAGCATTGCCAACCCTGTGGTGGACCAGCAGGCTGCACAACAGGAGCTGCAGGTAGCCAGGCACAGCAGGCCAGGGGAGGGCCCTGCTGCCACTCCACAAACATTGCTCTCAAGCTGCAGCCTGGCACCTGGCCAAAACATGGGCTGAGGGAGGCTGGGTGCCTGACAACCACAACAGTAAGATCTCATTCTCCTTCCCTTTCCAGCTGGAGCTCCACCCCCAAGACATGGCCTCAGCCATCGCTGTCCCAGGTAAGCACTAGTCCCACAATCTTTTTGTGGGGGAGGACACCCACTAGGCTCAGCTGAGAGTGATTTTGTGGCTGTGAGATATCATACCCACTGTGCTGCCCCTTAGGAAGCACAGACCCCACAGAGCTGTCGATTCTGGAGGAGCTGCTGCAGCAGTGTGACATCTCTCCCCGCAACCTTGGCTCGCTGGCCCCATCCTGGGTGCCCGCAGGTGAGACCAGCTCTGCTCGCGGGGTGCAGAGTTGGTGACTGCCTGGGTGAGTGATCCCAGCACCTTCCCACAGGTGACACTCCCCACCAGGACATCATACTCCAGCCTCACCAGGACACCGTGCTCCAGCCAATACAGGACACTGTGCTCCAGCTTCACCAGGACACTGTGCTCCAGCCAATACAGGACACCCTGCTCCAGCCTTATGCAGACACCAGCCAAAACAGCTGCTTCCCTCCCACGACATTTCCACAGTGGGTGCCCACGGTGGAGCAGCCCACCTTGGACACCTACCAACCAACGGGCCTCGTGCCACCAGAGGAGGCAGGTGGGTGCCGTGGGACAGGATCTGGCCCTGGCTCTGGGAATGCCATAATGGGGTAGGAATAGGCCAGGGTGGCAGCTGGAATGGTGACACAGTGCTGCTCATCTCCCGCTGCAGGGGCCATGCCCCCGCCGTGCCACCTGAGGGAGGGCACGGTCACCATGCAGTACACAGCGGAGGCGACGTTGTTCGTGCCCGCCGCCAGCCCCGTGCCACAGCCACGGCTGCTGCTGGATAACACAGGTGAGGGTTACTAATTATTAATAGCTATAAATTATTATTACAGTTATTAACAGTAAATATGTAATAATAAGGTTTGAGGAGGGGGACCGCTTTGGTTTGGAGGATGTGGCTTCTCATCACTTCCTGGTGCAGATGGCATCGTCTCCATCCTGGATGTCACCATCTACTACCGGGGGAAGGAGTTCCACCGGGAGGTGGTGGGGGGCAGCCACTGCCTGCTGACCTACCAGCCCCCCAGCCTGCCGGGGCCGCCGTGCCCCTGGCACGTGGTGCACTTCCCCAGCCCCGCCAGCCTGGCCGACAGCAAGCAGCGGCGCATCACCGAGGAGCTGCTGGGCATTGCGGGGCTGCAGCTGGAGCAACGCGCCTACAAGGTCTTTGCCACCCGCCGGGAGAAGTGCAAGGTGTTCTGGGCCTTGTCCCAGCAGCTCGAGGGGGTCGAGGAGCCCCCACCCAACCTGCTCTGCCGGGACCAGGAAACGCCCATCTTTGACTTCAATGAGTTTTGCACGGGTGGGTAGGGTTGTCACGTAGTTCCCCGTGTGTTGTTTCCTGCCCAGCCTGGTTTGGGGCTCAAGGGAGCCAGCCCCAGGGTGTTACAAGCATCCAAACCCTCCCAGCCCCTGTGTGGCCCCAGGCTCACCCCAAAACTGAGCCCTGTTTTGCCTCACAGAGCTGAGGGACTTCCGCAATGGCCAAAGGCGGCGATCCCCTGACTTCACCATCTACCTCTGCTTTGGGCAGGCCTTCTCCAAGGCCAAGCCTAAGGAGTCCAAGCTCATCCTGGTCAAGGTGCAGTAGCCAAAACCCACCATGATCCCACTGCTGCCCAGGGAAGGAGAGAGACTCATGGAGGCCAGGAGAGCTGGGACTCTGGGTGGCTGAGGAGGGGGACCCTGAAGGTCAAGTTGGGTGGGAGATGGAGGGTCTGGGTGTCTGAAGAGGGACCCCTGGGGACTGAGGCAGGTGGGATTCTGGGTGCCCAGGCATGGGGACTCCTGGGTGATGGAGAGGTGATGAAGTTTCCTCAGAGACTGGGCAGGGGGAGCCTCAGGGGCCAGGGGAGGTGAGTGCTTGGGTGTACAAGGAGGGAGGCCCTCAGTGTGCAGTGGAGATGGGGATTTGGGAGCCCTCAGGATCTGGGGCAGATGGACATCTGGATACCCAAGGAGGGGGTACCTTGAGGGCTGAGAGAGGTAGGGGAATTAAGTGACAGGGGAGGGAGACTCTTGGTGGCATGGGGGCTGCATAACCAGGGAGGGAACCCTTGGGGACCAGGGAAAACACGGGTTGAGAATGGGCCAGTGAACACTAAGGGTCTGCGTGGGATGGTGTGGAGGGCAGCTGCCCAGGGACAGGGACCCTCAGGCGTTAGGGGAGACAAAGGGTGCCCCAGACATCTCCTCCCTGCACTCCAGGAGGACAGGGCCATGCAGGTTTTTGCAGCTACATCAGGCAGCTGCCCCTAACCCTGATGTTTTGCTGCTGCAGCTGGTGCCCAAATTCTGTGAGTACTACTACGAGCAGGTGCTGCGGGAGGGAGCCTCCTCCCTGGACAGCCACACCATCAGCCTGCAGCTCTCCAACTCCTTCGACCTCATGGAGCTCATCGAGCAGTACACCATGCAGCTGGGCTGAGCCCTCCTGCCCCGCTCCCCATGGCCCTGCCACAGGCAGCAGGACCACTGGGCATCCCAGGCTCTGCAAACCAGCACCCCCCAACCTGAGGACAACTTCAGTGACCAGTCCTGGAGCTCACACATTGCTTTTCCTCTCTGTCAGCTTCTAATGTGTGTTTTTGTGGAGTGTGGTAATTTACAGATTTATTTTCTTAATTTTTCCATGTTTAAAAAAAATAAATGTATATATATATATATATATATATATAAATGTACTTCTCTCTTGCCTGGATATCTGCTTCTGCTGTCAGTCTGAAATCTTCACCACCCCCTTCTATCTCCAAAACCATGGGGGTCTGTGCCCAGCCTTGTTTCAGCAAAGTCCCTGCTGGCAGGGGTGGGCTGGTATCAGACAGCTTTATCAGCACCTTCTTCCCCTTAAATTTGAGTGGATGAGGTGACTTCCCAGTGTGAAGGGATGCATTTATCAATGCATTTATTTCCATGCATTAAGGCTGCAAACATGACTTGCAAGCAGAATGCGTTGAGGACAGCTTGGCTTGGGCTAAACAAAAGTAATTCTTCGTTGAGCACTGGCCCAGAGTTACTCACTGGAGATGTTCTGGAAAAATAAGGCAGTAAGTACAACACGAAACACCCAGACCACCAGCTCAGAGGTGCCGAGGCGGTGGTATCTCAGGGAAGAGTGTGGAAACCAGAGGGCTGCCTGAAGATGAGGCGTGCCCTCCCCACGCTGCAGGCAACTGCGTGCCCTCATTTGAGGAGCCTGACCATCCCTGTTGGTCCCTGGGCAAGGGGAGGCAGCAGTGTCCTTACCTGCCGAGTGACCTGGATGCTGCTGGGCCCAAAGGTGGTGGTGCCGTAGCTTGTCACGTAATAGTGAGCAGAGGGCTGTGCTGGGGGCTCCTCCAGCGGCCTGGGTGCTGTGGGAATGGGACACCCTTAGCCCCTCAGCCCCATGAAACCCTCAGCCCTCCTTCCCCTGAGCACAGTTATAGCACAAACTCGGGACACTGGGCTCACCTTTGGGCAGGAGCAGCTCTGCACCAAAGCGGTGCCCACATGTCCCGCAGGTTTTAACATCTTCCTTTGTCCTGTGGAGGAAAAAGCCCAGGAAAGAAGGAGCAGGAGCTGCTCTCAGCACTTCCCATGGAATATGATGCCTAGGCCATGGAAGAGGCCTTGTTCTTCCCACCCTGACCTGAGGTGCAGCTGCTGGTGGGACAGCCGCTGCCCTCCCAGGTGCCTGGGCACCTTCAGCTCCTCATGAAATGAGGACATGTGGGCACATCCCCAAGTGACCATTATGTGCCTGAGCCCCAGAGTCTCAGCTTCTTCACCTTTCCCTCCATGCTCCAATTTCCCACACAGTGAGTGTTAACACCACATGGGACACAAGCTGCTGTGGCTGGGAGAAGGGCACTGTGATGCCTGGTGAGTTTCATAACTAATTTCACGTGGCTTTTAGAAGCTGACCAGCCTGACCAGCATTGCAGTAGTGACCACTGGGTCCTGCCCTTGCTTGGAGGGCACAGTGTGTACGTACGTGGCACCTGTGCCATCCAGGTCTGGCCAGAGGAACTCTGCGGGACAGCCGGACGTTCGGCACGGAGTCTTCACACACACGTGCAGCCCCGGCCACTCCTCAGCGAGCTTCTGGATGATGAGCACAACTGCCACGAGGAAGTCCCAGGCAAACTGGAACCCTTCCAGGCAAAAGGAGAATGTCTCTTTCTTACAGCCTCCAGCCACAGCAGCCCAGGAGATTCTGTTGTGACCCACACAACCCACAGCCTCAACTGTCAGACTAGCTCCATCCCCAGTTAACCAAACTTCCCTAAGGAATTTAATGATATATTGAAAGAGCTCCCCAACTTGGGTGGCCCTTCTGCTTATCACTTGAAGACCCAGCCTTACACTGTACTCTGCTGGGGCCTTCTGGGGAAGGATGACCCCTTTGCTCCATGACAAGAACGAAAACTTGGCTTTCCACTTTCATGTGATACCTCCAGAGGAGTCCTGAACAGAATTCCATGGAGAAAGGGGAAACCTTTAAGTGGACTGCTGGTGGACCCAGGCCAGACCAGGACATGTGGCAGAGACTTTTTGGGACACTTCCCATAGGGTTGGAGGTGGCAGGAGCAGAGCTAAGGAGACACATGGGGTGGGAAGTAATGAAATATGGATCAGGGATTTACCTGCCCTTTCTGATGGCTTTCTGCCACGGAGCTCCAGGTAGCTGTAGGCCCTCTGGTTATTCTCTTTGATCAGCAGAGGTTTGCCATTGCATACAAGCAGGCAGGTCAGCTTGGCCACCCAGTGTGCAGAATAGAAGGAGCAAGCTTTCACCAGGAACCTGCAAGGAGATTGCCCATGGCTTTCATAATTTTTCTCCTAGCTTATCCCTAATACTGGAGAAAGTGGATGGACTTGAAAATATGAACCAAGTTTCAGTAAGAACAGACACCAAATGAGGACCTTCCCCTACTGAAAGCTCAAGCAGCAGGAGCAGCCTCTTAAACCAAGAGATCCTTCCAGAGTTTCCTGGTTTTATCTGGGATGGAGTTAATTTTCTTCCTAGTAGCTGGTACAGTGCTGTGCTTTGGATTTAGGATGAGAATGATGTGGATAAAACAGTGATGCTTTAGTTGCTGCTGAGCTGCTGCTGAGCAGGGGTTACATCAAGTCAAGGATTTTTCAGGTCCTCAGGTTGTCCTGCCAGTGAGGGAGCTGGGAAGAGTACAAGAAGCTGGAAGAGGACAGCCAGGACAGCTGACCCCAAATGACCAAAGGGTTATCCCATGTGCAGTGGCATCACGCTCAGCATATAAACCTGGGGGAGAGCTGCCTGGGGGACCATTGCTTGGGAACAGGCTGGGTATGAGGTGGTTAGTGCTGAGCAATTGTTTCTTATTTGCATCACTTGTTCTTCTTGGGTTTAATTTCTCTCTTTGCTATTTCCTTTTCATTACAATATTATTATTGCTATTACTTTATTATTATAATTTATTTCAACTATTAAATTGTCTTTATCTCAACCCATAAGTTTTTGTCACTTTTCTGATTCTCTCCCCAAACCAGCTGGGGAGAGTGAGCAAGTGGCTCTGTTGTGTTTGGTTGTCGGTTAGGGTTTAACCACAGCACCATCAGATAAAACTCTAGATACAAGTCCAGAAAACCAGGAGAAGTTCCAAAAACTGATACAGTTCCAAGACCCATAGAAACTAGAACATACTTGGGTGAGACTGTGAGACTAGAACATTCTTGGGTGAGACCTCTGCCTGCCTGGATGGACACAGATTAGTCAAACACTGTCCCGATGAAAGGGGAACCAGAAGGAGCGTGGCCTTTGCTCACATCCAGGCAGTGAACATCGCAAGGGGTTCACCCAGGGACCTACACACGTGTGGTGCAGCTGAGAAGCCACCCTGCTATCTTGACTCACAGCCTCAGGCCTCAGCAGACACAGTCTTAAGGGCCAAGGACTTGCTGAGAGTCATCCTGGCACTGCACCGAGCAAACTCAATCCCACAACCTCACTGACAGCCAGAAACCAGTGCTTACCTCTGGAAGAAGCCCTCAGGTATTTCAGGTGAGAAGTAGGCACGGATGTGGAGGTCCTCGGGGTGATCTCCTCCCCACACCTCAGACACTTCCTCTGTCTGGTTCAGATAGGTTGGGAACAAGTACCAGGACTTGCCTTGGCTCCGTGTTGTCTCCCAGGGCTTCCCAGGCACAAACTCCCTGGCCTGTGGGTTGAGTGCTTCAGTGTGCTTCACCTCCAGGCAGAGCTCAAAGTGCTCCAGGAGGCTGAAGAGCTTCCCTCTCCCTCTGTGAGGCCTGTGCCCCATGATTTCCTCAAAGACATCCCGCATCCCTTCCGAGGAGAGCTGGTGCTTCACCAAGGCACGCACAGCCTGGTGGCACAGCATTGCCTTTGACTTGAAGGTCCACACCCAGTTGGCCCTGTCTCTGACGGTGGCATGTTCCCCGATCAGCGTCTCCATGGAGATGCTCTCGAGCTGCTGGACAAGGTGGTGCTGCACCAGGAGCTGCATGGGAAGAGAAGGACAGATGAGGTGGCAGTGAGAGGAGCCCAGCAAAGCTGCAGAACTTGGGCTCTGCAGAGATGGCCCTGATCCCCACACTCACCTTGAACATCGTTATTAAAAATGTAGGCTGGAGGAAGACGGTGTTTTCCAAGTGCTTGATTTCCTCATACCACACGACGAGCCCGATGCGATGGAGGTACCGCAGGATGTCCTGGAGGAGCTCTCTGTTCAGGCTGGCCAGGTGCCTGCGCTGGGAGAGTTTGCTGAGTAGGTACTGGAGGTCCATCATGCCTAGAGGGAGATGCAGGAGCTCAGCATGCTTCTGTCAGACACAGCATTCCAAGGCAGGTGCTTCAGAGAGCCAACAAACACCCACGTCACCTATGCCATCCCTGGGGAAGTAGCTGGGATCAGCGTGCTCGGTGACTGTGACCAAAAATGCACTGCCTCTCCTCAGCTGTCCAACTGCCACCCTGAAACTCCCACAGCAGTGGGAACAGCCTGCCAGGACTTTCTAAAAAAACAAAGCTAATACTGGGATTTTTTAAATTATTGTTTGAGGAAGCAGGTTTGTTTCCAGCCAGAAAACCTCAGATTGCCAGTTAAACCTCAGACTGCCATTCAGCAATATAGAGAGACAGGAAACAAAATCTGAATTATGTCCACAACAGAAAAGCATTTGCTCCTCGTTCTCTAATCTTACAGTGGCCAGAGGGGCCAGAGATGTCACTGGGAATGGGTGGGATTAATACTTACTTTAGGTATATAAGCAAGGCTGGAGCTGCCTGCTGGTTCTGCTAAGTCACAGGACACACAGAAAAAGGGTCTAGGGAAGGGTAGGGGCCATTAAATAAGGTTAGCAGGATGTAGATTTGAAAACCACATAGTTGCATTAAAGCTGTGGAGCTCCTTCCTGCAAGATGTCTTTAATTGCTTACACAGGGAAAAGGGAAGAAAGAAAAACATCAGTGGAAAGCAAGAAACCAGACAATGTGGTCTGCTCATGCATGCTTCAGCAAGAACACTGCAAGGTCTTCAGCAGTGACCCCACTGCCACACAAACAGGGCCAGAAGGTGCAGCAAGCACTGGAGAGCCCATCCCCAGTTCAGGAAAGCACTGGAGAGAGCCCATCCCAGGCACAGGACAGAAGCTCCTCCCAGAAAGCGTGGCAGAGGTGACAGAGCACTCACCATGCGCTGCCATCTCCTCGCTCTCTGCAATATCCGCGATGGCAGCTTCCACCTGCCTGTAGACGGTCGGCAGCACTCGGACAACCTCAGGGAAAAGCTCCTCATTCTTCACATGCTTCAAAATAGCGACCTCGAGCTTTCTGATGGCACAGTGATCCGTGCAGTTGACAGCAACTAAGCTTAAGATCTGGAAAAGAGGAAGCACATACCTGACAAAAGCACATCCAGAGGAGTTTTTTAGCCTGTGAGGTAAAGGAAGGACCTAATGCCCATGGGGTCACCCAGGGTGAGACACCCCACTGGCTCAGCTTCAGAGGCACTTCCTTGACGCCTCTGTTCTACAGCAGTTCCTGAAAATCACCTGGTGATGGTAAATGACCCCTCACACTCCTCCTCAGGCACTTGCTACAAGCCACAGGAGGAGATGCCCATCACCTGCTAGGGACAAGGACCCTGCAGGTCACAGCCAGGAGTTACCACATCCACCCCAGCCTGAGGAGGGGCTGCAGCAGTGGCCTGATGCATTTGCAGCAGGTCACCTTAGCCAGTAGCACACTGGGCTGCCAGAGACAGCAGGGTGACCTCAGCCAGCCAGAACCCAGGATAATCTCAGCCCTACGGTTAACATGCAGCTCTCCATCTCCTTCAGCCTCTCCCACTGGTCCACATAAAACTCGGGCTCCTCACTGCTCTCCAGGTTGTCGATGAAGTGAGCAAGGTTGCTTTTTCTCTCTGCCAGCATGGCTGTGATCCTGGCCATGATGTCATGTGTCTTCTCTGCTACCTCCTGCTCCTGGCAGCAGTCCACATGGGTTCCCACAGGAAGCACCACTGAGTTTGGAACTCGCATGGACAGGTTGTTGATCCAGAAACCAACGAGCTCCTTGAAAGTTTTGTCGTTAGTTTGGTACCTGGGGAGGGAGAAAAAGAAAATCCCAAATTCACATATCACCCTCTGGATCTCCAGCCAACTTCCACCTGTACAGGCAGGCCTGACCACACACTTTGTGCTGTCCCAGGAGCTCACTGGACAAGAGATCAGGCCTCAGAATCTGAGATACAACCCACGGACATGGGCTGTATCCAAGCTCATCCTTCAGTTCCCCATCCTTAAGGGGTATAGCAGAGTCAAACCCTGCTGTGGACGAGAGCATCCCTCTGTAGCACCAAACCCAAGCCTGATGCTCCCTCCAGGTTCAGGGAACACCACAGGATACAGGAGGGATCACAGGGATTTGCTTCTTGAAGAAAGCAAGTCCACTTAGATGGGGTTCAGCTGTCACATAAGGAGTTGATGCTTAGTATAACCCTTCCAAACTGAAAGGGTTGAGAACACCTTTGGCAAGATGATGACAGAGCTGGTGGATTAAAAGGTTGGTCTGCAAAAAGGGGGAGAGGGAGAGCCATCTATGCCAATGGTGAGAAGACCAGGCCTCAAAGTCCAATGGAAATGGTGTTAATTTGTGCAGTGCAAAGTTTCCCCAGCTCCTTTTTAGTTTCCTCACTCTACCTGGAACCCAAACCAGCTCAGCACTTACATGTGAAGGTTGATGACAAGGATGACGAGCGCCTGTGGGGTGATGAACACATGGTGAGTCATGTAGTATTCCAGCTGGCCAGCAAAGTCCCAGAAGAGAAATGTGAAGTCCTCGATCTGGAACTCACTGATCTCTATCCCAACCGTTCGCTCTTCCTTGGGCACCAGTCTGGATTGCCCTTGCTTCAGGCTTCTGCAGATGGTGGACTTCCCAGCCAGCGAGGCCCCCAGGAACATGGCCTTGACCCTCTTGTCCTCCTGCCCCAAACCATGCTGAAGCTGGCTGAAGTAATTCCGGATCTGCTGAATGCCACCAGCGCACACTTCACTGGGTGGCTCCCGGAGGGGGTTCCCACTGGCCTTGAACATTTTCAGGGATTGTCCCTGGAAGAGCTCCCTGGGGAGCTGGCGAAGGGCGTTATTCTGCATGTGGAACTCCTGTAGGCGTGCCAGCTGCAGGACGGGCTGCGGGAAGGTCCGGAACAGGTTGTTGGAGATGTTGAGGTACTGGAGGCTGCCCCGACAGGCTGCCAGGTCCCTGGGGAGGGCACAGAGACGGTTGTTGTTCAGCCGCAGGTGCTTCAGCCTGGGGAGGTGGGAGAAAACCCCCTCTGGGATCATCCGGATTTGGTTCTGATTCAGCTCAAGCCTCTCCAAACAGACCAGGCTCTGGATTTCATTGGGAAAGTCCACAAACTCATTCTTGGACAGTATCAGCTTCTTGAGGTTGCAAAGCTTAGAAATGCCAGTGATGCTCCTGAGCTTGTTCCTGTCAAGGTCAAGGCTTTCCAGCATGGAATTGCTCAGGACTGCGGGAGGGAGCACACGCAGCCTCTGGGTAGAGAGATTCACCTCACGCAATCTGTCCTCCTGCTCCTGACCTGGACACATGGGACAGGGAAGGTGGTTAAAACAGACTTTGACCCTTTGGAATTGCAGACCATTTTTCCTTTTTTTCTTTTTTTGCAGGACTTTGGGATAACTTGGTCCAGCAAGGAAAAGCAGAGGAACTAGTTGAACAGCGCAATCACAATTACTACTTGAACAGCTCCTGTGTCCTCTCAAGAGAGGAACTGAAGCTGAGGATCTTGGCTGGGACTGAAGATGCAGGAAGAGTTCCCTCCAAATGATGACCTGCAGCCCAAGTGTCACATTAACAGATTTGCTGTCACACTTTGAGCCCTGCAAGAGCTCCAGCCACAGATACACCTGCCCCAAAACTGGGAGTTTTTAATCCCAGCAGTGGGCTGCGGGGGCTGCAGAGCTGACATCAGGACAGCTGCTCCACAGATAACTCGCCCAGCCCATGAGGCCAGGGCCAGCGAGTTCAGACACGTCCTCTATCACATCATCCCCCCTCCAGACGAAGTTGTGATTCCCTGCAGGGATGCTCCCAGCCCCGGGAAACTGGGGAAATAATGCAGGGATGCTGGTGTTGCCCAACAGACAGGGAACACAGGCAGGAACTCAGCGATGGCTGAGAATGTCCCCAAACAGAGGGTGTTTGGGGAAGAGAGATTTGCAGGTGAGGAGAGCGTCAATGGGATGGGGATCACACGGTACCAGAACTGGTTAGATTTGCTTTCCTCTCCCTTGTTTCACTTCCTCCCATGACGCCAAGCACAGCATCCCCTTATGCAATGCACCCAGCTCAGGACTGACTCATCCTTTCTCAGCATCACCACTGAAATGTGGGATATGCTCCAAGCCCAGCAGGAAAGCAAGCCTTCACCTTCTCCCAAATGCCCTCTCCCGCAGGGACAAGCCAAAGAACTCCCTCCACCACTGAGCCAGAGCAGTGAAGAGCCAGGGCAGCTACTCACAGGCCATGACCCTGCAGCGTGGCACCAGCTGGATCCTCCAGGCGCTCGCCTCCCCCTTTCGTTTCCTCCTTTTGCGCTGCTCCCGCCTCTCCGAGCTCTGCCAGAGAACCCCACCCTCTCTTTCTCCATCCAACCTCAGAGAAGCTCTCAAGAACCTGAGCACGGCTGGCCAGATGGCAGGGCCAGGGTTATGTCCCAAAAGCAGTACTGGAGGTCACCTGTGAGACAACCATGGTGGCAGAATAGGTCCCAAGTAAAATTCCTGGTGCAGCTTCCCTCCCTGCCTGTGCTGAACAAGCTTTTGGCACCACCACTCTTCCAGAGGAATGAAAGGACACTAAAAGGAGGTTATACTGTTACCAAACTACTGCATGTATTGAATAAGTAAGAGTTCTTCCCTTAAACAGGTAACAGTATCTGATCCAAGAGGGCCAACCAGAAAGGGGAAAAAAAACCCCAAAACAAGTAGTATACACAGTATACTAGAAAAACTGTTCTAGAACACACCAGAAGAGGAATTTTTAGGTATGCTTCTCATTGCCTCTCCCAGGAGCCAGCTTACAATTTGATAATTTTATTTTAATGGCAGACAGAATGAAAGAACCAGTATTCTTGTTCATGTAACTTCAGCAGAAACCTCACGCAGGTGTAGTTTTCAGTCTCAGCACTCCTCAGGCAACGGCAGATGCAGAGGTAAAAAATTTCACAGGCCTTACAGTGCAGGCACTCCTAACACATCCTGCAACAGGCCAGGCCTGTTATCTTTATTGCCAGTACAAGGGTAATATTAAACAAGAATTTATAGCAGTGAAACAGCCTGAGGAATGAAACAGACTGACACTATCTTCCTGGTAAACAGAATGACACTATCTTCCTTCTGTTATTAGGTCAAGGCTTATTTTCCACACCACCTACCCTTTTTCATTCTGTATACAGACAGGTTATGGCACAATTGCTCCTCTGAGACATTCAGAGATGTCCAATTTCCAGCCTAAATGTATGCACAACTAGATCACATTCTCTCATTCTTGTGCCAACAGTGCCATTAAAGTTTCTGAATCTTTATTTTGTCAAGAAATCTATCAGCTGAGTTTGTATTTACAACCCCACACCCACGTTCCACATACGTGTTCTAGCTCCAAGTTCAGCTTGAAAACTGTAACTTCTCTGCCAGCTGTTCTTCTGCATTCAGTAATGTGTCTTTTCCAAAAATCTGCAAAGCAACTCCAAAGTTATCATCACCTCCTTATGGTCCACCCAGGCTGCACCTCCATAGAGGAAGCATACAGAACCAAGGAAGATTAACTCCAAAATGCTCAGGATTCATCCACAAACAGTGAGTAATGGGAGTGAAGCATTGTGCCAGTCCATACACTACTGATATATAGGCTTGTTTTGTTTAAATAGTAAAAAAATAAACTCTCCAAAGCAGTTCCCATGAGGGAAAGCCAGTTTCTGAGTTATAACTTACTGGCTTTCTCTTCAATTTCTCTGTGAAACATCTCCTCCCTAGCAGGATTTGATGGGGAATGATCCAAGTCAGGTTCAAGGTGCTGCATCATTTAAGAGCCCCTATTTCAGGCAGTCACTTAAAAGACCTGCTGCTCTGCAGTACCTGCAAGCAAGGAGCTCTGCTAAAGCCATCAAGATGAAGTCAGAATGTGTGCTGGACTCCTTTGATTCTTGATAGGAATCTGCAGTTCTCCTGCAGAGGAGGAGGGATAATTACTAATCCAACTCCAGTCCTCTTCCACAAACACAGTATTCCTTACACAAGAGCCACGTGTGCAGGTTTACATGGAACAGCCAGGCCAAGAGGCAGATGCAAGACAAACAAATGACACCTGCTACAGGACAAAAACCATTCAAAATAACTTTATAAACTCTGTCACATTTCTGCTTTGTACATCAGTTCAACCTTATCCTTCGGGCTTGTTACGGAAAATTGACAATGCTTGCTTTTTGTTTCGCTTTTCCTGAAAGGCAGACACAAAAACCAGCCATCAGTGCATTATTTACACAAGTGCAACACAATCTCCCACCCCAAAATTAATTTTTGTCGCTAACAAGGTACTTCCAACAGAATGTAAATAAACACCACAGCGTGAGCAGTGTTTCTGAAGTCACTTTATAAAGGTTAGCTCATTTCTGCAATCCCCAAATGCCAGAGCGAGTAAAGCTTCGCTCACCATCCAACGGGCTAAAAATACAACATTTCAAGTATTAAATCAGAAATTTCTAAAGACAATCCATATTTCGATAAATAAACACAAGGGAAACAGTATACAGCTCTCAATATACTGTATGAAAAGTGGTGTCCAGTTTCAAACTTTAGCAAGACAAGTGCACAGCCCAAAAATGTGATCAAAGTAACCCTGAAAACTGCAGCAATCCGGGAGCTCCAAACATGAATCTCTTCTGTGTTTCCTCTCGAATTACTTTGCTGGTCTGAGGCATTTGATTGTTACTTAGTTCTACAGCTGTAGGTAATCCAAAAAAATCCTGAATTCATTCCCATATGGAAACAATTCAAGAGAAGGTTCCATAAATAAAGTCTATGATCATCTTGTTTCTCTGCACTCTGCTTACAGTGGGATGCAACTGCAGGTCTGTTATTCCCATAGTGTCCACAGCTAGGAGAAGTTCAGCCCAAGTCATGCTGGCTGTGGCTTGCTCTCAGTTTTCCACTTCACGTGTTTCTTCACCATCAGTTTTCTTATGTTTCCTCATATGTTTGTATTTTTCCACATATGCCTTCACCAGGTTAGCCACCTTCATAGGGTTGATCTCTCCACTTTTGCTGTGGCAGATCTGCAGGGGATCAGAAAGGGCACTTGGTCAATGACAGCAGCTCAGGCAAGTGGCAGAGAGGCCCTAAGCTGCACAGGGGAGCCAGTTCCTGCACTGCCCCAAGGCTCATAGCAGGGTACACAAAGCAGCAAAGACAAGAGCAGTATTTCCTTCAAGCATTCCAGGAAAGGCCAGACCTTATCTACAGAGCACCAACTCAAGGCAGAGGCATCTCAAAGCAAAAAGACTCATTTTTACTACTGGCTTTCCCACATGTCCATCCAGTTTTACACAACATTTGGTAACCAAGGAAGTGCTGATATCCCAGTTTTGGGATGTTTTTGAGGAAGCAATGCTCAGATTAAAAGAATCTGTCGGTTTTGAGAACACATTTTGAGATGGGGAGAAAGAACAGACCCCACACAAGTTACTTTATCTCTCTTCAGGGAGGAGTTCAGAATGAACTCAGTTCAGACTTCAGTAGCAACTGGCACTGCTCAGCTCTCCCGCAAACATACGGGTCACACAGAAGATGTGAAACTGCAGCCATTACCTTGGGAATTCTTATTTATGATGGGATTTCTCAGTGATACCAAGAACGCAGAGAGAAACTACAGTTCTCTGAGGTATCAATTAACTGCCTTGACCACAGGAGCATTACTTCCCCTCACGAGACAACATTTACTTGCTGACTGATTCTTTCCTAGCCATGATCTACTCAGCACTAAGATTTGAGGCAGAAGTTAGTATCAGCAAAATTGTAAGGCCCTCTTCCAAGGTTCAGGGACACCACAGATGCTCAAGGACCTAATGCACAAAATACTTTCTCACTTTATCAGAAACAGCTAGAATTCTGGCTGAAGGCCCTAGTGAGGGGGATTTGACCATTCTCACCCAGGGCAGATACCATGTAACATTTCAGCTCACGCAACTGAGGCTTAGCAATGCTCTCATCCACTGAAAACATGACCTCATAAAAGGAACAGACTGACAGCTCTCATCAATGGCACCAAAGAGTCTGGCTTAAAGCACTACTGCTTCACCACAGGACTGAGAGTATGAGTCAGGGTCCAAAGACCTGCTAGCCCAGTTATGGCATGTATTTGCTGAAATGGCAAGTGCAATCTAAAGTACTGCCACTTCCGTAATGACCTGCCCAGCTCCTCCTCTCCACCTCCTTTCACTGGGCCCTCACCTTTTGCACTGCTTTCCGAAGGATGCTCTTGTACTCCTCCTTTGTAATCTCCCTCTTCTGGTAAAAAGGTTTGATGGCAAGTTTCACTTCTTCCACAGCCCTTTCTTGCATGTGAAGTTTCTTCATGTACTGCACAGGAAAGAGAACTTCATTACTTTGTGCTGTCTTGGGAATGGTTTCTGAATCTGTTTTACTTAGAAATACTCAAACAACAAAAATTCTCATTTCACAATTTCAACAACCCAAGTAATCACCTCAAAGTGATTTCCTTTACAGTCAATTACTGTCTTGAAACAAATACCAGTTTGCACTATGAGGAGCCCTTGCCATATATAACATTTATTCTGTGTCTTAAAGAATGTGTTTTAAGCAAGTGACTACAATGTGGACTTCTGGATTTTGGTCTCCTCCTTCCAACAACTCCAAATTAAACATACATCTAACAAAAGGCATCATATTCTAAAAGCAGCAAACAACTGTGAATATACGGCTTCAGATAGCTCTGAAGACAATGTGAAAATTGCAGAGTTGCCTATGAAGTAATGATTACAGTTAACAAAAACTGTTGCTCATAAATGGAGGCTCAGTGGGAAATGCATCTTACTGTTTGGTTTATGGTATGAAGCAAAATAATGGGCCAAATTATTTTCGTTCTTGTGTTAGCATCCACTGTGCCTAGAGCAGATGGTCTGTGCAGCAAACCCAAAACTCATCAGCAAGGGACTCGCACTGAAACATCTCCAAAGTGTTTTACTATCTTTGTATTTTCAGTGCTGATAAGGAACAAAATACAGTCCTACCTCCCTACAGAATTGTTATGAGAATTGACATTATTTCAAAGCTGGAGGGGAAATGAGAAAACCAGGTGTTTAGAGAAACTTGGACACTGTGGTTTCTGAAAAGTCACAAATATTAATGTAAGAAAGTTTCAGAACTTTAAGAATGTATTTCAGATGTTTTAATCCCTCTCTGTCCTATTGTTTTGAACCAATAGAAAGTACTTCAAATGAAGTAAGTCCCAAATGAATTCAAAGACAGGATTGCCTGCTGCTCCTGGGTTAGCACAGTCAGTTACCAAAACCAGCAGGGCTGGGAAAATACAGTACAGAAAGTTAAAACATGCCCCAAATAAAAAGTTCAAACAAACAGCTCACTAATTTTATGCATTCACTCACTTCCTCGTTTTTTGTTTTATCCACT